GGTCTGAAATTATCCAACTTTGTCGATATTGAATCATTTATTTTCTCTCGGTTCTAATTTCTAATCAGAGAACCATTGAGCTATATAAAACATCTGGAGTGTGAACGAATGGGGGGGTACGTTCGTCGACAAAGAGGAACCGTAAAGGAATCTCTTTCTCTTTCTAGGTGTATAATGCATGTTTTCTGAACCTGAACTCGGACGCGTATATGTCGAGTGATTGACAGTGTTATAAATTCAAGTGATTCGATAGAATACTGAACTTCTATCCCCACGATAGTTAAATTTACTACAAGATAATACAAATAGAGAGAGAGAATATAAAAAGAAGGATAGAGATCCCCTATAGCTTCTCGCTCCTTGGAGCATCGTCGCTACTCTTTTATCTTACGACTTTTGACAGCCGCGCACACTCCAGATATTTTATATAGCTCAATGGAAGTAACTCAGTCAAACAGTGATAAACCGATGAACTTAAAGATCGTAAGTAAATGCAAATTTTGGTCCCACATTAGGGAGAGCCAATAGTTATGGAATGCACATCGATCTGTTATGTATATTATCAGTAACAATTTTATCATTACAACATCTCCATACAAAATTACTCAGTTAAATTCAATCGAGGGACAAGTACATAATTTCACTAAGTTCATATAACTCCTTGTATCCTACTGGTACTCTTAAAAATGTACAAATAATCGCTTAAAAATATTCAGACACATGTCTCTGAGATATCAATCATACTGTTCCTACTTACGTTTGTACAATAAAAATAATTTGTGAATTGAATTTCATTCGAACTAAATTCTATTCGAAGTAAATAGATGAAAATTTGATGAGAATGACTGATGGAAGAGTCGTTATCTAAGCATGTGTAATAGAATATGTCTGAATTTCCTGAGAATTGACTTATCGACACAAACGATGACGACGACGACAAACGACGCTGTTCAACTGAAGAGAAGAGAAGATATTTCCGACACTGAGTCAACGATGACGTGTTATTATTGTACATTAATATGTAGAATAATATTGATAAAAAATAATGATGTTATATAAAAATAACTGTAGAATCGTTTCACTAGTACATGTACTTATACGAGGGTGCATACGTTTCTAAGAAAGACTGTTTCGTAATTACAATTCGTCTTTCTCGTCGAGATCTATGTCGCTAAGATCGATGTCCTCCTCCTGCGGAAGTTCAGCATCCTTCCCATCCCAAGGCGTGGTCTCGAGGATGTCGGGTAACTGGGCACCCTTCAAGGGAGCAGTGCCTCCTCTCCCGTAGCTTAAATCCCGTAGAAACTCGTTTATACCACCGTAAGAGAAACTACCTTTCAGCAAGGAATACTTCATTTTCTTTATGTTCACGGCTGCTAACGCCGGATAACCGAAACCCCCGATTTCTAACGCTTCTTCGATGTGTGGCTGAGCACCAGCTTCAGCCCAGACCCATCTGTTAAAAATCATTTGATATCTTTCCACGTTCTCCCAAGAAAAAATGTAAGACAACACACATGATCGATAGATACATACCCCCACATTTTCTGCTTATATTTTTCTCCAAGCTGATTCAAAGTTTTCAAGTATTGGTTTCTACATTCCGACTGGCAATCTAAAATGTGTGGCAAGACAGATACGACGCAGAGAGGTTTATCCTCGCATGCTTCTCTTAAATTTTTCTCATTTATGATTTGAGTCACTTCCGGTGCTGGTACGTTCTCAGCCAGTTTCTCCAACGCCCAATTCACTATATCGCTACTCGTGCGACCGCCGTCGTAATCTTGAACAGAATCTGCAGATTTCTTGCCAGACCCAAAGTATTTGATAGTAGGATATCCCTTTATGTCGTATTGACTAGCCTGCAACATCGACACGTAAAATACATATCCGCTGGGAAATAAAATATATAAAAGTAGTTTTAAAACGTGTTACTTACTTTGACTCTATTCACAGTTGCATCGACAGCTCCCAGTTTGACTTTCCCTTTAAGTTCCGTCGCCGCAGACGCCCAGATCGGTGCCAAGTTTTTACAGTGACCGCACCAGGGTGCATAAAACTCTACCAGCCACATATCCTCTGAATTCAATACTAGCTTATCAAAATTGTCGTCTGTCAATTCGATCACATCTTTCGAATCCTTAGACTGTAATGAAAATGCGAATTGAACTGTTTACTGCAATAATTTTTACATTAACCATATCTACCTTGGAATCTCCACTGCTTCTTTTACCACCTAAAGCTCTACGTGCTTTTTGTCCAGCTGCATTCAATGCAGCATCGACGAGTCCTGCCGCTGTTCTTGGCCCATTATAATCCTCCGGTTTGCTGTCAACACCGAAGATTTTAATAGTTGGGAAACCTTGTATTCCATATCGTGAGCCCAGGGCCTTATGCTCGTCAGCATTCACTGCGCCCACTTTTACGATGCCCTATAAAAATGTTTAGTAAAAATCTCAATAACAGTAAAAGAGTTTTAACATTTGAGGAAGTACCTTTAAGGCTGTTGCTGCCTTGTCATATTCAGGTGTTAACTGTTGACAGTGACCACACCATGGCGCAAAGAATTCCACGATCCATACGTTATCGCTATTTATCACCAAACTGTCAAAATTACTTGGTTTCAGTTCTATAACATCAGAGTTGGAAGAATACAAGGAATAGGCTCCAGTAATTAGCAGCAAGATACCTAAGCAAAGCAGTTGCATTAAGTTCATATGAGAACGATATAAACTATTAGGGGTTTTAAAGTGCGAAAATAAGTATTCGATACGTAATAAAAAATATTGTAACGGTACACGTCTGCCGGTAAAATTAAGCGATGTACTGCAGAAGACATTTCGCGTATATATCGATTTGTAAAGCTCACCTAAAGATCCTTGCATTTTGTTCAACGAGCTAAGGACGAGTTCACGATCTCTTTCGAAAAATCATCAACTAAAATGTCTTTTAAATAGGTTCGAGATTGAAACGAATACAACCGAACCCAACCTTTTCTCAACCAGCCAAATCTTCAATTCAATCCTCTCTGTTTTCCCCACTCTTTATGAACAGATAGAACTTTTCGTGGATCGTTGGGATTGGTTCGCACGCGATCAAAGGATATAGCCTTAGAAATATTAGCCTTTTCTATACGCGTGTATGAATAAAAATAGCTGATTGAAATGTTCAAAGATAAACAATCACCGAGCTAAATGATTATTCTCCTTTATACACTTTACCGAATGATCGAAGAAGATTCCTCTAACGAGTTACACGTATTTCTATAAATGGATTTCCAGGTGAGGTGAGATTCGGCAGAGATTTTGGACATGCACGTAGGCGGATGTCGGAATGAAATTATATGTGGGCGTAAAACGGAATCCTAAAGGAGAATGAATGGTTTTTTGATACTAGAAGTAAATCTCGGAATATGAATCGACGGATCGAATTAAATTCCTGATCTACATTATTGGACGTCTCGCTAATGATTATAGTGCGAATACCAAAAAGAAGTCGCTTGGAATTTTTGATTTTATGCGAGATGTAATTAAAGTACGAAATCTAATACATAAAACCATGATGCAAGTAAAATATTTTCTTTATTACATCGTGACGTAAAACTATGAAAACTGTGGCGATTTACGTCGCGCATGTGCATTCGAAAATTGTATCAATCGCGGTAGAGTCCAGGATTTATCGAAACTTTTTCATAAAATAAGATAAGTTGTACGTACAGTTCAACAATACATCGATTACATAAGCTAGTAATCGTCAGACGAAGTCTGTACAACACGAAAATGTGCCAGAAACAATATAAAAATGTTACGCATTGTATTTTTGATATGGACGGATTACTGCTTAGTAAGTACTATAATTCGTATTTTGGTGTCTCACATTTTACGAAATTGCACATTCAACATTGTATGTTTAACGTAGCATTCACGGACTTTATCGACCATTAATCTTTATGGTTTAATTTTACGTTCTTCATAAGTTTTACACGAAACATTAACCCATAAATAAGCAAATGTTTATTTGTTACGAACATTGTTAATTTTGTTTTGTCTATGCACGTGTAGTAATGAATAAAGTCTCAATGGCAGTTATTAGGAAATGTGAGGAGTAGAAATTAAAATACGCCACGCATCTCTGTATGAGCGGATTCTACTGTCAGTGAAAGTGTTAAAATAGCACTCATCATGCGTGAGTTTGTATGTATGGCTTTATTCCTATCTTTTGGAAAGCTGTGTTATGAAACTTGTACATACATACTTGCGATCATGCACGAAAAATATACTTGAAAGATTGTAGAGGATTTCTGTTTTTTTAATTTTAATTTCGAAACTTCAAACACAGTTTCTGGAAATAGTTTTAAGTTATAAATTATAGTACAGCGAATTTGAGTAAGCATTCTCTCTTACATCAGCCGGCAGTATAACTTTGTATTGAAATCTCAATAGATACAGAACCATTGTATACGGAAGCCTTTAATTATATTACAAGACGTTATGGGAAAGAATTTACGTGGGAGCATAAAGCACAAACCATGGGTTTTAGGACCGACGATGTTGCGAACGCTGTCATTGAAATGTTATCTTTGCCAATGACATTAGAAGAGTTTAAAAGTGAAATAGTCACCAAGTACGAAGAGTTGTTCCCTACCACAGATCTTATGCCAGGTAATTGAATTAAATAAAAGAAGGAAGTTTTCAGTGATATTGTAGTCCGCATCTAATATCTTTTCGAAAAACAGGTGTTGATAAATTATTGACACATTTGAAACAGAATAATATCCCAATCGCATTGGCCACAAGTTCGAGCAAAGGACATTATGAACTAAAAACTCAGAGATGGAAACACATATTTGATCTATTCGACCATAAAGTGCTCGGTGGTTCTGATCCCGAAGTTCTTAATGGTAAACCAGCACCCGATATCTTTCTCACAGCTGCCAAACGTTTCCCTGATAATCCCGATCCCTCTAAGGTTTGTCAAAACTTATATCATTCGATCGCTTTCGGTTCACGAGTACTACTGAGCCATACATATGATTCTAGTGCCTTGTGTTCGAGGACGCTCCTAATGGGGTAAAGGCTGCGTTCAGTGCTGGGATGCAGGTGGTTATGGTGCCAGATCCATCGTTACCAAAGAAATATATCGAGAATCCAACGTTAGTGATAAACAGTCTTGAAGAATTTCGACCCGAACTGTTTGGCCTACCGCCGTATAGCACATGTTGAAATATGTTACTCGAGACACACAGGTCTGATGCGTCAGACTTTGTAAAATGAATGATACAAAAAATAAAGTTCTCGAAGATACAAGGTGTTCGATGGAATGTTTCATTTTGATTTCTGTGATAGAAGATTTTATTTACAAACCATATGCACGATTTAAAAAAATAAACAATCAGAGTTACGTACTACTATACTCGTTTTGTTCATGTAACATTACTGGCAGTATCTAAAACGATTTGTATCACGTAATTGCTAATTATACAGATTTATTTTTATGTCAACATAACAAATGAATGTCACTTACGAGGGTTTCAAACGGTTATCCTTCGTCTTCAAATGGCAAATATTCATCGTTGTCGTATACATCTTTAATTTGTAGGTACGTAGCTTGATCATCTTTTTTAAAGCCACAGAAAATGCTTGACATATCGACGATAGAATACGCATTTCGATTTAATATTCTTTCCATCGCCTCTTTTAAAGTATCATAGGCTTCTCTCAAGCCTTGTGGATGCTGAGATAATAAACCTAAGATTAAGTTTATTTAATAACTGTCCACGTTCGCGATTTGCTGACAAAAAATAAAAAGAAAACCTAGATACTTGCTTTTGTACGACGAATGACTGACGTCGAAAATGTGAACATAAAAACTGATCTGATCATAAAGTCTCATCTCTGAATACTAGATTTAAAATAAGAGAAAATTATAATCTGAAACATTCGGAAGAAAGTGATTAAACTTACTGCTTTGTGCAACTGGCCATCGTTGCACTCGGGACAGATCAGATAATTATCAGAGTAACGTAATGGAATCCCGTCTACTTGTTCACCGCACATTGGATTTTCACATTCTAACGTTCCTTGGTAATACTCATTAATCGACTCGTGTATAGAAAGTTCTGCTATATTTTGAATTGCATTGGCATACGTCCACGGTTTTACACCGCAGTTTAGATTCGAACAGGCGGCAAGTGCCAATTGCTGTCCTGTAGGCTTTAAAATACAAGCTTTTCTCAGTAAATAGTAAATGAAAATACAGAATGGGAATCCATGTAATTTCATCAATGCTAAATCTAAATATCTATATTCCTTACCGTTTCAACTGTGATATCTTTAACTATGATTTCTGACTGGCACTTTCTGTCTTTGCAATTGAATTTCAGAGGCAGACAGTATTTAAATCTATCTACATTTAGTACCGCTTCTTCTTCGTAATCATATACTTTCTTTGACTTATAAATGTTCTGCAAACCGAGATGCGTGGCTATTAAAACATCATCGATCCCTTCGATCGGTTCGCAAATTCGTAAAACAATAGGAAAAACTTGGCTTAATAAATAATAATCAACGTCTATCTTCAAAGTATCGCTCTTTTTATACTCGTCTATATGATACGCTCTCTCGGTCGCAGATCTTTCTGTCCCATCGTTGCATATGATATACGGAACTGTATCTCCTGCCTTCCACATTCTTCCACCTTCCTTGTTAAGCCTTAAAGCTACTTGTACGTGAGCTTGCTTAGAGTCCGGGTACTCGTTTGGATTTTTCGATAACTGTTTCGTAATAACCAGTGAAGACAAGGGAACTTTATTTTCTCTAACATTCCCTGAAACATCTCGTAGAATATTAAACACTTCTATTATTCGATCTTCATCTGCTTGACCGGAGAACAGGCGATCCAAAATTTTTTTTCCAATTTCGCAGGCTAATTGACACCAATCTCTTCTCACGATGTCGAGACCTTTGTGTTCTTGCGCCAACTCTATTTGTCCACTAGGTAGTTTTGTCATCGTGACCGCAGCGTATTTTTTCTTTTGTAGAAGTAACAAGTAACGGAAAACGCCATCGATGTCTAACTCTATTCGCTTATAATATTTGTTCACTTCTTGCTTGATCTTTCTGCCAACAGCGAAGACTTCATCGTAATCTAACAAATTAGTATTTATCATTATAGAGTCCGTGTCCCCGTATATAACTTGATAGTTCATTTTCTCAACCAAACTCTTCGTATGTTGCAAAATTTCTCGACCTTTGGCTGTGACTAGAGCAGCGAGTCCTTTAGCATAAAATCTGCAATGGGTCGCACCCAAACAACCGTACATAGAATTCGCAGTAAGCTTCAAAGCCATTTGCCTGATGTTGTATTGCATCCGCAGTTCGGGTGAAATGTTCGGTGCTTTCATTAATTTCTTTACTTCTACTCTGCTTTCGACTAACTTCCGAATTTCCGTTGGTATTACACCGGGTTCTAAATTAGACTCAGGAACTTCTAAATCCAAAGCGTACGCAGCACCAGGCACGGTAGTGAAGCACAAATTATATTCCTGAATTATACTAGGATACAACGAGTTGAAATCCATCAGTAAAATAAGTGTATCGTAGAATCCTTTCTGAGGTTCGAGAACCAAACCTCCAGCGTAAGCCGCTTTCTTTCTACCAGTGTTTTCTTCACTCGTCTTCTTTTTCGCGTCACGTTTATCAGGAGTTATATACTGCTTCAAGTGGAACGCGTGCATCAATAAATATTCATTTCTTTCTGCGCGGCCTGCTGTCAACGTCCTAGATATAATATTCCCAGCGATGCACGTGATTTGTAAAGCGAGCGGAAGCACGTTCAGTTCGAAAACGATAGACAAAATGTACAACGCTTCCGTCAATGTTATTTTAATTAAATTATCCAGCTTAGTGGTAGTGTTGTAAAATAATGCGGATTCACCGGGCTTTATTTCTCTGCACTCATTCTCCTTCTTCTTTAATACCGCCACGCAAAGAGATTGCAGATCGTAACTTCGTACTTTCAGATTCAACTCTTTAGCTGAAACTTGTATGTCGCAAGTAGGTCGGCCGGCTAATACTTGATTCATATGAATCCTTCCTCTTATCATAGGAGGAACCGAACGTTTCAGCCTTCCGAGTCTGCTCCAATTTGAAACTTTCAACGCAGTCATCCTATGCATCAAGAGATCGAATTGAAAGCCACAATCGTAACCGATCAATATGTCTGGATCTGCCCCATGTATTATCGTTAACAATTCCTCTAATAACTCCGTTTCCGTTTCGAATTTCATTACTTTGGTATATGAAAGCGTTGAGAACATTTCTCGTATTTGTCTCGGCCAAGGCGTATCACGCGGATGTGTGATCAGGCAGAAATGTTGTTGAAACGGTGGCTTTGGTGGTTCTCTGTCAATGTGGTACTTGCGATGTATCAGAATCGCGACCATGATTATCTCGTTTTGTTGCGACTTAGAATTCGAGCTTGCTCGCACGTTGAGAGTCGTTGTTACGAGCGGTGGAATCACTTTAGATTCAGGCGAAACAGATATGCTCTCCATCTTCATGCAGTTCACCTTTATTTTACACCAGTTATTTTGAATATCGTTACGCAGTGGACTTTTAACGTCGAGCCAACATGGTCCCTTGATATTTCTTTCAATTAGGAATAACTCTAAAGCGTTTACTGTCGTACCGAACACGCGTTCTATACACGGGCCAGAATAATCGGCAGGCACCGCGGGATATTGCGCGGAATATCTTACTTCCAAATACTCAGATTTTATCGGAGTTCCTTCATCCTCGAAAGCATAAAACTTGGTCACTTTAGCGCTACGGAACTCCTTTATTCCTAATTTGTTCGCGAACTGATTAAATTCTTTGTAAACGTCTTCTATTGTATTCAATTGTTGTTCCTTATTCTCCTTAGACGATGTTTTCACCTGAAATTTACATTATTACATGATTAAATATATTCTCGAATCTAAGATAGAGGTGAACAATGGTATACGTACGTATAATCTAGGAAGGAGATAAACTCTTCTTGGGATGTTTTTTACTGTTACACAGCACGAACAATATTCTTTTGTAGAAGGCACGAAGACTTTTCCGAATATCTGTACAACGCCGGGTTGTTTGTATGGATCTTCGTAAGCGTCCCACCAGTAAAACCTAAATACGTCTTCGTTGTTCGCACCAGATGAAAGTGGTAAAGGCAGTTCTTCCGTTGTGTCGGTCGACATTTCGATGTCTGACATTTGTGTTTCAAACTCTATCTCTAACACTTTGTTCAAACTATCTATGTCAAACTCTTCCTGTTCGGTTTCACAAGCTTTAATTGGAGTAGAAACCTCTTTTTCCACGTTTTTTTTACTTATAGGTAGCGCAGATTTTTCATTTTCATCAATTTTGAAGTCCATAGTAAACTGTGAACGAAATACAGCTTAATCATCAGTCTACAATATTGTTAAACCTTAAACAGCTTACATCGGATTCGTCAAAGTGTACAAAATCTTCGCTTTCAATCTCGATCACTTGACTGCAACTTGTATTTTTAGTATTTTGAGTCACTGCTTCATCATTTAATATCGTACATTCAACAGTATCACATGAATCAATCTGTGAAATTATTTGGCTAGTACTTTGATCAAATCCAGAATCTTTCGATTGGGACGACACTTTTGGCTTAGATACATTTGCTTTCGGTTTATCAAATATCAATAAATCATTATCATCATCATCATTAATTTGTATCTCCTCTTGTTGATTTTTCCTAAGACAGTGTGTTGTTAAAGAAGCAATATTAAATGTAATAAACCTATAAAAAGACAATTACTTCTCACTTAATTTTGGGGTAGTACAAAATTTGTTTTTGACAGTTCTTGACTCTGGCCTCTTCGGTGTATTGTCTTTCTTCAACTCAGACATTAGGTCTCCTAGAATGTTGTCGTCGTTTACTACAACTGCAGATTTACTTTTCGAAGGCATGTTCATTAACATATTTTGGATATTTTGTTTCTTCTTAATCTTCTCCTTCGTATGCTTTCTAGGACCTGCTACTTTATTCTTTCTTGCTTCTTGCACACTTTCATCATCCAAGTCATCGTCAAAAATTTCTCTCCCATCTTCTATATACCCACTTTCACCTATCGTGTTAAATAAGTTTTAAATGACAAAGGCAGTCCTCGAGAGTGTACATAAAATAATTACCATCGTCAACGATCCAGTCGTTGCTCTGTCTTTCTATCACGGTCTTTGTATATTCTTTCTCGTCGACTTCTTCATAAACATTGTCCAACTCTTCAACCTCATATTTATTCTTACTACCTTTCAACTGTTTTAATCTTTCTAAGGCTGACAACCGTCCAGTCTTGTCAGTCTTCTGACGTCTACTTCTACTCGCTAAATTCATTAATAATATAAGGAAAAGGTTCAGAATGTAAAAATTTCAAAATTGCATGGAACACAGTTCACAAAGAATATATTTTAACGACCTGATTGCTAGTACAGAAAGGAATTAGCAATGAGATGAACTTACGCTGCGGATCGCTCATGGTTTTAACAAATTAAATCGTAATCGTAAGGAAAGAAAAGTTTCACAAGATAAAAGCAAAAATGATATCATGGAAGTTCGGTTCCAGCCAGTTCCAGCATGCATGTATGTACGTTCAGCAATTTTCGCGGGAATTTTACCGGTGAGTCTCTATATATATATACACACATTCTTTTGTTCTTTACATGTTTGACAATACTTTTTTCCGCGTAGATGGCGTTCGGGTATCCGCGTGCCGTATGCCATCTGCACCATGTTCTGCACGTTAAGTTAAACTCATATGTACATACCAGTACATACCAATACACATACTCAACTTCATGCAAAAAGTTTGGTTTGCATTCAACGATCGAAAAGGTGCAGAAAGGTAATCATTTTATCAGATAGACAATCTTGCTCGTATACTTATTTAACATAACAAACGTAATCGATAAACCTGATGTAACGTGCATGTTTCTTTCACTTCGCTACTGTCACATGGAATTAAAACCGCGTATTTTTTTGTGTCATATTCCCTTCGTATACTGCCCACTGCCCCTGTAAAATTATTGGATACACGTAATTCGTCGTACCGTTCATCAGTTTATTTCATTTTATTTATTAACGAGGATGAAAAGTATAAGAATTTCTATGACGTACGTATATTACATTTAATGGATGAAATCTCCATTCTAGTTTGTTTCTCGAAATAATGGAACCAAGCTCCATTACTTTATTTATTATCTACGTTGTTTAACGAGTCGGATATTTAGTAAAACATGGAGAAGTCACAGTTTTGTGATTTTCGTTTTTATTATTTTAGTTATAATGTCAAAAGCACATAGCCCTACTGTTTTTAACGGAGAAGCTGACTGTTTTTATGACCCAAATTTTACTTTGGACATTAACAAAAGGATGCGTGTACCAAAGAGCATTCGTGGCGACTACACAGACGACGAAGCAGCTACAAACGACTCCACTTGGAATCAGATGGTAGCGGGAGAGAAGTTTGACATGCATGTTCCAGATAGAATATTAGTTGTTGGTAAATACATAACGTTTTCTTATCATTTTACATATTAATTTTAAAATTCGTATGTATTGAATGTTTGTTACAAGGATATTTTACGATGCGTCTAATTATAAATGTAAATACGATAAAAATAAAATTGAATGTAGGACAGGAACAGTACGTTGGAACGAGAGCAACGCCGAGAGAAATTGTATTGGAGAACGCTGTGCTACCACCTGAACCAGGCATGGTTAGAATACCGGCAAGTATATTTAATTCTTTAAGTACGATCAAGTGATTGAATGCTATTTCAAATGAAACAGTATCCAAGACACGTTATGTAATTTTAAATACGAGAATAAGGTGTTTAAATTCTTAATAGACTCCGCCAAGGATCTTGACTCTGGACGATCATTACTTTCCAACTGTTGACGAGGAGGAACCAAATGTATATTCAACAGAGATTAAGGAGCCGATGTCATCCTCTAAATCACGCGGACAATATTCTACCGAAACGCAAATAGTTAGGCATGCCAGGTGACTAGATCATTTCATTTTGCACATCGTACCCGATGAGTGCAATACTTCTGATTTACATGGAATGCAATACTTTTGATTCACAGAGAACAGACGCCACCGTTGTACAATGCAGTTAACGTCTCTCTACCACCCAGTGAAGAGATACAGCATTTACGTCGACAAGTAGGGAAATTGAATCGACGAGTAATGGCTATTGAACTCGAGATGTTACAACGTCAGCAGAGGGAAAAGATTTTATACGCGTTGACACTAACGTACTTAATCCTTAAAGCGTTCTCATGGTTAACGCGAAACTGAATTTCCATTAAGAAACCGTAAACGGTCATCGTCTTGCATGAAAAAAATGGGGTGCTACTGTAGCATATGAATGCAAGACGTAAAAAGTTTTCTTTGCTTTAGGAAAAGAAAGATAACTAAAGGCTCTTTACCCTGAGTATGTAAAGGTAAAAGAGCGTGTCGTATATATTCAGAACTAACATGCCCTTCATATTTGCATGAAAGTGTATGAAATTTTTAAACAGCTAACTTAAGAGATGCAACAGCCATTGTCATTTATATATCTGTTTTATTACGTACGATAAATTCTTCAGACTCCTCCTCTCCGAATTGATGTAAAGAATGGAATATATACGATACAAGATTTTTTTTTTAATTTGTTGAATGTGAACATTTGAACATGTTCATGAGAAGTAACTAGCATTATCAATCGTGCAGAAGATGAATTTTTCGAATACGTTAGTGATCTATTAAGAAATTCATTTTACATACATGTAATTGGTTAATAATAAAAGAATATTAGCTACAATTACAGTATGATAGATAAGTGTAAATTTGTAAAAGTTAACGATGTATCAGTTTTGCTGTGTTGTCTATTGAAAGTGAATCTTCTCTACTCACGTTTTTTTCGATCATCTATATATATATATAGGTAGGAATATATTGTAGGAAGATATTTACAAAATTGTTTAAAATGGACTACGTTACGAGTATTTAGACTATTGGTTTTGACATATTTTTTTCGTGGCCATTACATTGATTGTACATTTATATGTTATAAATAATCTTAAGGGAAATAAATAATACATGTAAAGAACTGTTTTTCTGATTCATGCACAGTATTCTCTTCGAGTATGTCACTGCTCAAAGTAATAAAGGTAAAATTGATACATAGCCAATGATGTGATAATTCCATATTTATATTTTACTCTTAATTAAATATCTGGCACATTTATTATTCTAAATCTTTGGTAATCCACATGGAGAGCTAAATACGTAAAATATATAATGACACATTCATAAAAAACATCTAGGATCCCGTACAAAATGTCCCCTATGTCATGCAAAATTACTGTGTATATTGTTTTCTTCTATCATTTAGCAAATTACATCATTTAATTATAATTTTTCTTTATTTAGGTACGCGCGAATTGAATAAAATGTGACTACATATTTGTCGTCCTCGACATTGATTCTTTAGCTCTAGCTGGTTCTAGCTCTAATCATCGCAGAGCTAAGAAACTGGCGAACATCAATATTAAAAAAATATTCGCACTGTTCGGATAGAAAATGTATATATCGACACTGTATTACAGCGATAAATGTAAAAGCCGAACCACATGAAATTACGTCGAAGAATTACTTTAGTCTCGTGTATAATAAAACGTTCTGTATACTTTTTAACAAATCGAGATGTCGGAATCTTGCACGCTCGCCGAGATGACCGCATAGGGACCTTGTCGTTGCGAACGTTAGACAATCTGTTAATACTATACAAGAGGTCAGTGCACGTCACGTAGTTATTATTCGGAGTTGAGGATTTTGTTGAAAAATCTATCGGTCCCGAAGTGTTAGTAGGGTTCTAAGAAAGGGTTCCTGAGACTCTCTCGCGGGAAGACAATTACGCGGAAAAGCACGCGGAGGTCTCAGGTATTTCGCGGGATCACGAACTCTGCGACCGCCTCGTACGAAACGAAGTGTCCCCGCATACTCGAGTGGTATAAGGCTGTTGTATGTAACCGTGGTGCTGCGTTCGAAGGAAAAAGAAAACAGCTCGTTTTATTAAGGGACAGCCGTCCGTTCGGCGTCTGTGAAGAGCGGACAGAGTGTGTGACAGGTTATGTCAACTGGATTGGCAGGTGCTGTATCAAATCAGGTCAGTGTGTTGACTTGCTACCACACCGCTATACCGCAGATACATACCTTTCACTGAAGACAGCCATTCTAAATTTTGTATATTTTTCCATGCAACGGAATGCAGCGGATGAAAGGACAAACCAACAGTCAAGGTGAGGCTCGTTATCTCTTTTATTCGTCTCTATCGGTTCGCAAATAAAAAATAGCTGTATGTTCACCACGCAAGTGCATGTATTTTTTTTATTTGCTAAAACTATGATCATTCACAGTTCCTGTATTTATTATCTGCCACTCTATTAGAAAGACTTCGTGTCACGGCACGATAAACGTGTATATCTTTTTAAATACCGCGAAATATTGTTACGTCCGTACCCGTGGTTGATACGTGTATTTGTAGGTATATAAATACGTAGTGCATTAACCTACCGATGTTTTAATATATTTCGAATGTACCTTTTCTACGAATATTATACATTGTCATCGCATTTCATTCCTTTACCTTCAAATAAATTTAGAAGTATGTTCCAATGTATGTCACATTTTGTATTAAACTTTAACAGAAACAATAATTATACGCGGACGATAGTATAAAATCAGCGAGATTATTAAATTCAAATACGATTCGCACATGATCACTGGCCTTTTAGTAAGATAAAAAAGTGTGCTGTGATTTAAATTACCATAATTAAGATTTTACAACAAGGTGTTACTTTTACTTCCTCGCATTTCCATTTAGCATTATTTAACAAATGCTCGCGTAATGGAAGAGAACGATCGTTTTTCTATATGTTCCTCTGGAACACCATAACGCAAACTTGCATAGATATTATTATTTGAAATGTATAAATATTGTAAATCGTATTCTTATGTTCTGCCTGATTATTACTATGTCATCCTGTTTTAATAAAAAATTGTTGGTCGAATTGTGTTGTTGAGAAGTTAATTTTTCGATTAAAAGAAGATGAGTACATGCAGTGGATTAACGAGATAAAATTCCATCTTGGTAGTGAGCAATGGACCTAAAGAACACCAGCAACAGCCACAGACAGAACATGCTGGTGGAGAAGATACCGGATTTGACTCATGGAGAGGAGGCAACAGCACGCATCATTCAAGCTATCCGATTGGAACCGGCGATCCGTATAGCCCTTACTACGCAGGCACCTCATTCCCTTATCAAACGTTCGGCGCTGGGGACGGTACTTGGTCAAATGGGACAGATCCCGTTGCGTTCCTCTCTGGCTATGGAGGTCAAATAAGCCACGATGCGTACGGTATGGACGGAATGTTCTCTGCCAGTGCAGGAGGCGGTTTTAGCACATTTGGCCAGCCTCCCTTCAATTATTTTCATGGAAACGGTGATTTCAGTGCCTGGGGCACTCCGAGAAAGACCCGTTACGAGGATTATTACCAGGCTCCGCGCGGAAATGAAAATTATCCAACACCTAGTAATACAGAGATTAAGACTATTGAACAGAGTGTGCAAGGCTTGTCACTGGGAAGTGGAGAGGTTCCGCGTCAAGACCAACAGGCATCGTCAAATCAGCCGATAAAACCGGAGGCGAAGGAACCTAGGAAGATAACATGGGCCAGTGTCGCAAGCCAGCCTGCAAAGCCGGTACCTCCGCTCTCGTCGTCTCAGGGGATGAAGAAAAAGGCGGGTATGCCACCGCCACCGATCGTGCCAGGGAAGCATAATATGGACATTGGGACATGGGGCGAAGGCAAATCTTCTGCGCCTCCTCCGACAGCTCCTCCGCCGCTACAAGTACAGCCACCTGTTCCACCGCCTCCACCATTAGCTCAAAGACAGAGACCTCCTCCTCCACCACCGTGTTGGAACAGGCAGCCTACGACACCTCCGTCACCTCCACAGTCACAGATTCATATGCATCCACAACAACAACAGCAGCAGCATCATCAGCAGCATCAACATCAACAACACCAACAGCAGCAGCAGCAGTCACACCATCAACAACAACAACACCAGCAGCAGCAGCAGCAGCAGCAACAGCAGCAGCAGCAACAGCAACAGCAGCAGCAGCAGCAGCAACAGCAGCAGCAGCAGCAGTTGCAGTCGCAACAGCAACAAATAACGCAATCACAGTCGCATCCTGTTTTAGACGAGCTAAAAGTGAAAAATGATTATAACCCTGTAGAATTCGATGAGACAGCGCCCGGGGCTAGGTTTTTTGTAATCAAGTCCTATTCCGAAGATGATATTCATAGATCTATAAAGTACGAGATCTGGTGTAGCACGGAACATGGTAACAAGAGATTGGATCAGGCGTACAGAGAAGCCAATCGCGAAGGCGCGCCTTTATACTTGTTCTTCTCCGTGAACGGATCTGGCCATTTCTGCGGCATGGCTCAAATGGTATCACCTGTTGACTACAAGAGCAACAGTTCGGTATGGTCGCAGGACAAATGGAAGGGCCAGTTTCGTGTACGTTGGATCTACGTTAAAGACGTTCCAAACGTTCAACTTCGTCACATTAGATTAGAGAACAATGAGAATAAACCAGTGACTAATTCGAGAGATGCCCAGGAGGTACCGCACGCGAAAGGTGTGTTAGTGTTGCGTATATTACATACGTACCGGCATTCGACCAGCATCTTCGACGATTTCGGACATTACGAGCTTAAGCAGGCGGAAGACGATCAGCGCAAAGCGCCGCCGAGTGCTATACAACATCATCACTCTTCCAATCATAGAAACAGAGGACATTCAGATTTCTCAAGGGAGCATCACCCGCATCAACCGCATCAACCGCATTTACATCATCAACGCAAAGTAAGTGATAACACTGTAGCGTTAAAATGTACAGAGATACATGAAAGCATTTCACTTCGATGAGTAATGTATGGTTGTCATTTGTAGGATCGGGATGGTGGTCGCGTGAGAGGCAGAGGTGGTTCACGCCAGTAGCGGTGGATGCAACAAGAATCTAATACTATTCATAATAGTAATCAACGTAAAGGAAGCACGCTACGACTAATTATCGTCTTACTACTTACCTTTGCTTTCTTGGATACACAAAGGGCTTCTAATTACTGTGAAGAAACTCTCATTACTGAGACTATCTCCTTCTGTTAAATAATCAACTTGTATGATAATTAGCGTCGTCGCGTCGTCATCATGAGAATCTTATCTAATCGCAAACTATTACGAAGAGGATCGTAATTCTATTTCCAAGGAATATCGGGTAAATAACTTGCTGACGGTTGTAATGCGTATAGTGTGGTGTTGCGTGCTATTCATCGAAAGGTGTTTCTTAAAACGTACAAATTAAAGAAGAAAAAAAGCGACAGAGAAAAAAAAGAGATATGGAACAGAAGAAAAAACTGTAATATGTGGACTAACCCTTGTAAAATGTGCTTAAACTTTTGTTGATAATGAAAAAAAAGATCTATACGAGAACAATATTATAAGCAAGTGTCATTTAAATCAATTACCATTTTAAACTTCGATGGACATGTAACCTGGTGCCTGTGGCTGAAAGGACTCACCACCTTTCTTTGTTATAAAGGTGCAAGGGCTTATTACAACGTTTTAAGTTTAATTTGTAACAATTATGCTTGATCATTGGATAATAATAGAAATTATTGTCAACTGATTATTTTATGCATATTCTATAACTATTGCAAATTATATATATTATATATATTATATATATATATTACCTATTATTATATTATTCATGGACTGCAAAAACGATCTAAAATATTATATGAAAAAAAGGAACAATAATATTGCAGTTATTCTATAGTGACATGTAATGATCATTAATTGTACTATTCGATGGAAATTTCGTGAGGTGGATCTTATTGTTGAAACTATCTGTTATTTCCTTTTTCTTTTAATGTTTGATATATTTCTTTTTGTCAGGATTTCATTATTTTATAAATTGAAGTTGTCCTCATTGAAAATGAAACTACGTGGTTTTTTATATTTAAGGAAGGAGGAACGTACGTAATATATACCTCTCCATATCGTTTAAAAAGAAAAAGGATTGTTTGACAGTAACATTTCTAAATTTGAACGATTTTTCACGAGCTACATGTACGAAACGAAAAATGAACGTAACTAAAGTTGCTTAACTAATGTGAATTTAGTGAACTAAAAACACATGCAAAAATATAATAGATTTTATCTTAGATTTAATTACTTTTGCGGTAGTTAACGATATTTACATATAGCTACGTATACAAGTTAATTTCTAGGAAATTGTAAAGGAAGCAGTCGAGCATGATGATGATGATGAAATTTTGTTTCTTAAATTTTATAAGAATGAAGTTACATTTTATTGGAAATTAGCAGTATTTTAGCAAAGTGATCAGATATTTCATACGAGGTAAACGTGAAGTAGTAATGTGAGATTTTAAGTTTATTCATGAAATTGTATGAAATTAATCAATGAATTAAACAGATTTTTTAATCAAGCATACATGCATAGTATGGCAATTAATTTTCTTTTGTATACAGTTTACGAACACTAAGGAAATTTGAATAATGTGCAGTAAACGTCTCTTTCCTCGTTTCTATATTATGAATGTTGCAAAAAAATAGTAATATATCAACGTTGAAAATCTATGACTAATGTTTGTCAATCGTTTCATCATTTGAAATTTAAGGTAGCCATGTAACAGTGTCTACGCATTTCCAAACGATTGTTGCTGTATATCAAATTTCTGTATTTTATTTGAGCTACATTTAACAAGTTTCGTTGAACTGATAGCTGTTTCATGAGAAATCATTATTAAAAATATTACTCTCTTCAAGTCATACTTTAGAATTTTATTTAAATGTTCGTTTGAATCCCAAAGATTTATCTGAACTTCATTTTGCAATCGAATACAATGTGCAATGCAAATCGCATGTTTGTATATTCGGTACAGTCCAAGATATTGTATTGGACGTAGTTACTAATCAAGAATGATACACTTTTTATTGTTGCTTCACCCCGTCGTCCCACCGTACTTCTTTCTTTACGGTGCTTGGATTCTGATAGGAATAGGGCAACGGTTCGGGGTTTGCTAAACCCGGACATAGCTCTTCCGGTGGCGGTGTACGTGGCCTCAACTCACCGTGTTCTCCTTCGTATCTACACTTAGCTTGCTCCTCGAAATCCTTTATGCATTCTTTCATATCGACGTCTCTTTCAATAGTAGCTTCAGCCGGTTTCACCGCTTGCTGTTCGGCCTCCTTTTTATCTTGGATCATTTTCGCCGTCACCTCAATGTCTTCGGAGAGCAAGTTCTGCTTTACTAGACAATCGCGAATCGTGTCTCGTACCTCCGGTGGGAACTTTTCAGGGTTCGCTTCGACATAACGATAGACGAAAAGATCGGCGCCGGTTATGATAAAATAGTGATTGAAGATGTTGATCTTTGCGCCGATGTAGAAATCCTGAGGCGTATAATATTTCGGATTGTCTCTTCCAGTCTTCGGTTTCGGGACGAGCGTCGCTTTTAGGAAGCAACCCTCGCGACGCCCCGAATTACGCTTCTCGAGCTCTTGTATCAGTATTGTCCCTTCGCTTAAACTGTATTCTAAAATGAAATCGCGATCCTCGTCCTCCGGGTGTACTGCGTCCATTTTCATAGAATAACGTAATGTTTTCGGGAAATTAAGAAGTTGCCGAATCACATCCTTCTTGGGTGGTCGAGGCATGAACGAGAGGCAAGAGACATAAGTGTCCTCCGTAGTACCGAAAATTATATGCGGTGGAGGTTTATATTCCGGCGCGGACTTGACGTCTTCCCTTGGAAGGGGTATTTTCTCCGGTTGTGGCATTCCCAGCATATCCGAGTAATATTTTCGCGTAAAAGAATCGCAATCGTGTAAAAAGAATCGTCGATTGAATATAAAAATTGTGCCGCCTATCTGTAATTAGAAGAAAACGATACTTCACATTTTCGGAAACCCTTTGTACTACTCTCGGTAGAAGATTACTGAGCGAGACCTACTATAAAATCCTTTGGTGTATAGTATTCGAGGATCTCTGGATCACCGTATTCCATGTACGCGGCCGGATAAGACGATGGTAAATTCTTCCAATCCTTCGGCACTTTCATCCTTTTCAACAGCATCGGTACAGGATCCTTTCCACTGTTAGGTTTTTGTATCTCGCGAACGGCTATCGTGTCGTCCATTAGGAAATACATAATTCTATAAACGTCGTCGTTCCAAGTCGCGGTGAACGACAAGACCATCGAATCGTATTCCAAAAATCTTCGTCTAACATCGTCCGGAACTTTAGTGACGCAAGTCGGTATTCTCAGTTTGCTGGCACGTAGTTCCATATATGGATCTACAGGAGGTTCTTCTTTATCTCCAACGTCTATACCCTGACTGCTTAAAAACTCTCTAGTAAATAGATCGCAATCGATAATATGATAAACTACTCCATAAATACCTATGGAACAATGAGAAGAATGAGATAACATATAGATACATATATAGAAGAATGAGATATGTTGAAAAATGAGAAAGATCGGTGTTACAATATCTAGACTCGAAAGTCTCTTTATTCAAACTTACATACATCGATTCCAACGTTAAAATCCTTCCAATGAAACGTATCACCGTTTACATTTTTCTCAATTTTGCCCCGTCTAACGAGTTTCCCCTGAGGGAAGCCGGCATTGTCAACCGGAGGCTCTATCACACATACGGTATCGTCCTCCAAAAAATACAATATATTGACGTGTCGTATACGAAAGTGTTCATCCGGTGAGTTGAACACTCCTTGGCGGAAGAATGCTTTAAAACAGAGACACTTTTGGGCGAACACCGCATAGTGTGGGATGAACTGTCGACACGCGTATCCCTTCACGCGACCGTACGTTAAGGATGGATCATAGCTAAACATGAATAGTTTTATAAGATCATAATTATTGTACACTCGGTACATCATTTATTACTCACTGTGCGGAACCCGCCTCCTCCTTTATGTACGCACTGGATGCAGCGTCTAACGGTCTTCCTCCGATACCAATATTGCTATCACGTACTACGCGATAACCGTTCAAAAAATTAAATTTTTGTAATAATCTATAATCTTTGATCTTTAAACAAAACGTGTTTCCGCTTAATTTCGTTGCTTCAGATGCAGCTTTTAATTCATATCGTTTTTATCACTTACACTCGGATCCTGAAAGCTGAAGCCTGGTAAAAGTGGTAGCTTTTCCATATCAAATTGTAAAAAAACGTTTAAGAAAGTATATTTCCAAAAGACATTTCTATGGAGCGTCCGACTACGATCCGTGCTACTGCTAAATGATCCGTTTGAGATGGTTTCTATGACAACCATATCGCACGTATCGATATAACATATTCTAATCAATCGTTAACTTTCTTAATTGTCAAATGATATAATGATCTACACTCTACACATGTATATATGTATGTAATAATATGTATATGTGCATAGCTGATATTTGAAAAGAACAACTAGGTCAAATTACATTCGATCGTTTATTCTGCATAAATTATTGACAACAGTAGCATTGGATGGTTTTTACTAGAACTTGTCAGTTGTCCCGACTGTGAAGTCATAAACTAATTATTTCCTTAAAAACAGCCATACACGCTGCAGACAAGCAGCCTGCCATCGGCACGGTAATTAACCAGGCGAACGCTATATTGCGAAACAATTTCCAGGAGACACCCTCACCGCCGCGAGAGGCCCACCCCACGCAAACGATGGATCCCACTTTGCAATGGGTTGTTGACACAGGTAAACCAGCCTTACTTGCCAACAAAACGGTCAACGCAGCACCCACCTGCGATTCATACGCAGTTATGTGTGAATTAAAAGTATGTACGTGCATGTACGTAGCACGTACATATGTAAACTCGAAGAGAGTCTTACATTTATGAAATATTTACCTCAATTGTAAATCCAGTAGTTGGTGTGATACGCGCCAAGTCTTGTCCTAATGTTTGTATCACTCTACGTCCCCAGACCCAAAGACCAGTCGATATTCCCAAACCGCCGTAAAGTAATATAAGCATAGGTGTTTCCGCTTCCTGTCTGGCCGATCCCTCGGCGTACACGGCCCAGAGCGCGATAAGTGGGCCGATCGCGTTGCTGACGTCGTTTCCACCGTGAGCGAAACTACCGAACGCTGCAGTCAGCACTTGCAAAAAGGCAAAGAGCCTGGATATCTCCGGCAATTCCTCCTCCTTCCTATTAACATCGTTTTGAGCACTCTCGGCGTCAGATCCCGCGACCATTAAGAGAGGACTCGCACTGCTATTGCCACGCAATTTCGGTGCTGCTTCCTTCGCGTTACCGTTACTATTACTACTACATGGGGTTTCAGAAATAACAGATAACGCTGTCGTTTCCTTTTTATCACAGGTACCGAACGTTGTCGTGGCCGTTGTTTTTTCGTTGCCACTTAGCGAAAGTAAAATTTGTTTTCTCTGCCATGGGACGACAAATATATAAACGATGAGTGCCGATGCTGAACCTAAACCTATCGCGGCGAGCACGCTACCCCACCATGGCATTCGATCTAACATCAAAACTAAAAGTACAAGTGATCATTTAAATTTCGCTTAAAATGAGGGAGAAAAAACGAATGAAACATGAAGTCACTCACGTTTAGGACCATCATGTGCAACTGATATAATGTTAATAGCAACAGTAAGACCGTATACTAACGGGAGGATGTGGAGACCTCGCTCCAAGGGTCTATTAGATTCAAGTACTGATTTGCTTAGAACCCAGAATATAGCACCTGATACAATTCCACTAAGAATAGGACTCGCGAACCAAGATGCAGCTATATTTGCAAGAGCTATCCATTTTACCTGTAAATATACACTTACTAGATTTTAACGTTCCTTTGTTTCGTTTCTTTATTAATACGATTGAGATTGTACGACTACTAACCCCTGCAGTACCTCTGCATACCAGTGAAAAACCAACGGTAGCACCAACAATGGAATGCGTTCCAGAAATAGGTAATCGCAATGCTGTTGCTAACATCATCCAAATACCGGATCCAGCTAAACTAGACAATGCACCTATCATTAATTCCTTCTCATGGCCTTCGTATAATGTAACGTCTAGTATACCCTTCCTCATAGTATCAGAAACCTAAAGTACATGTAAATTTAAAATATAATGCTGTGAGACCCGGTAGAAAAAATGTACATGAATCTTCGAAATACCTTATAGCCAATGAGTACAGCTCCGGCAATTTCGAATATGGTTGCCAGGATGCAGGCCTGAAAAATCGTGAGTACTCCAGCACCAACACTCGTCCCGAAACTGTTAGCAACATCGTTTGCCCCGATTCCAAATGCCAGAATAAAGGCCACTATGAATCCAACCACTACTATCCATACCAAGCTCTCATCGTATGGTATGATCATCTTTGTTCCTTTGATATCAACTGGTTTTTGAGCTATTCGTATGCGGATCTTTTGTCAGTAGATCATTTTATTAGAACATTTTCTTGTAATTCCCAAGCGATACATTCTCGAGTAAGAGAGCATGTATCAAGGAAGAACTTCCACCCTTATCCGTCATGCATTTACATATAAATATTTATATAGATCAGAATATATTTCTCCATTTATATTTAAATTCCTAATATATGTGTACATGTATATGTGATGTGTATATATATATATATATTTATATATATATTTAATACTTCTTCATTTCACTTCTAAAACAATGAGTTTTGTAACTTTGTACACGTAGCAGATAGAGGTAGTATCTTGGCGCAGCACCTGGTAGCATCGTTTTTCTCAATAAAACAAGGTGTAATTGGAATGCTGAACAGCACCGAAGTAGCAGTTATTGTGTAAATACTGTCCTAAATTTTATACTTTGTTTTAAATATAAAATGTTACGTTCGACTTTATACATATTCATTATTAGTGTTGTTTTTCTTTGGACATAGAATGATCGCTGTTCTTCTGGCATCTGTAATTAACCACACCGTGTAATGATATTCGTAATTTGACATATAGGCGTTTATCGAAATTGAACTATTTTAATACAGAAATTCTTGAAAGCAATGCGATCACTCTGTTTTAATTACCTTCGTGCGTGCATCGTAATTCTCTTTCAAAATTCGAGGAGTATTTCGATATCTCCGAAACAAATTCGATTACTGAACTGGTAGAAAACCTTTTGACAATTTTCTCACGTTCGATTTCGCAGGGGTGGTTATTACCCTCTGCCACTCTTCACGTAGCAACACCACTCGACGCTCGAATTGAACTGCACGGTTCTTTGAAAAAATTGACTTTAAGGAACGTTATCCTTCGCCCTTTTCGCGCGTAGAACGTGAAATAAAACGATTAAACCAGTTACAGCAAAGGAGATACATGTACATACATAAAACACGACACAAAGTTTTCAAAGATTTAAGTAATAGTTACAGCTAGACGAATTATACGGAATAAATTAAGAGAGTGACGATTGAGACGACGAGCAAAGCTTTCAAGCGTATTGTATCATGTTTACGTAGAAAAATTTTAAAAAGTTTCAATTTCCAATTACCACTGTTTGCGTCATTCTTTGGTACAGTCTCACCATGCGACTCTTGTTTTAAAAGCTTGTTATTAAAAATCGAACGGAAGGTACGCACTGCGGTGTCACGGGGGCGTAAAAGAATACACCGAGATTTAATTACTAAATAGGAAAGAAAATGTCAAACTGAAACGTATTCCTCACTCACGGAACTCAAATTACTTAGCATAAATCTTCGGCAATCGGGGATGCCGCTCGGATCCGCGTGGGGGTGAAATATTGATCCGCCATTTGCCCGCGAAACTCTTTACTTACGTGTGCTGACGCGGAATCGCTTTATATCACCGTGAATACGACGTGTTTTATATCTGTAAATCAATGGACGACCGATTGATTTATCAGTCTCCAGTATATTCTAACATGCCTGATGATTTCTGTTCGTGTAATCGCATTTAGCATTGTAATAGACACTGATCAGTGCAGCCTAGGGGAATTATGAATAAGTCGTTGCATAAAGGGTGATAAATGAGCTACGAATTTATGCGAACATAATTACCAATAATCGCCTTTTCTGTATACATATATACATATATATATATGTATACACGTGGAACAAAAGGTCCATCCTTGTCAATTATTAATTATTGTGATACTTGAATGGCATGTACGTGCTTTAAATAAATCGTTACGTCTACAAAATATATCTACGAAATAAGGAATAATTGGAGATGCATATAGAAGTGATAATAAAATACCGTGCTCGACGTAGCAATTCATCTGTTTCATTTTTGAATTTGAATCGTATACTTCAAATGTTATGCCTAATTCTTACATATTAAACAATGGAATTCGAAAGAACGAATTTTATTCTATATGTACAGTTCGATGATCCTGGGATTACAGTTCATTAGATAATTATATTAAATGTTGGATAATTATATTTAGTACAGACTACTGTATTTTGTTCATTACTGAGCTTCCCATTCCTGTCTCTCTTTACGTTCCTTTATCACCTCTCTTAGTACAGGTAGAAGATAGAGATCGTCCTATTTGAAGAAATTTAATTTACATTTAAGATCGGGGAACGATCGCAGAAGAATACATTCTGTTAACCGCTCGCGTCAAATTACCTCTTCTAGTTTCGTCCACTGTTCTTTGGGCAAATATTTCTTCGCGCAGTCCAGCTGCATAGCTCTGACAATACGAAAATTGCGTTCCTCTATTACTTCTGGGGACCTCAGCTGTATTCGTCTCAACGCTTCTATCACATCTGGCGTTTCGTGAATGATATCCTCTCGACGCAAGCCTGAGATGGTAAAAAGTAAACTTTCTCAACTGATATTTATACCTATTGTTAATGTTCGCGTGTATAAATTTTGCATACCGTATTTATTAAATCCACTATAGTTGTACACCCATTTCTGAATTCCAGCTACGAGATATAGAATAAACGTATGTAATTATATAAGAACATGATTTTTAAAGACGTTACAAACATTTTTAAAAATGGGTCTTATATATCGCAGATCTACGTACGGAATGAGCGTCTTAAATACGCTGCAAACATTTCAGTCATTTTGAATGCTTAATTATAAAATCGCTGTTCGAAATGGTTCGAAATACACTTGCTATTTCGAAGCTATTATTGACTACTCTACTATAATATATGCTACATTGCTGTGTATATAGGCAGAGAGGAATTTACTCTCTGAGGGTTCCTAAACTCGTCTGACAAGTAACATTAAAATTCCTAGTGTTCCATGTATAATTTCTTGTTAGTTTTCGCTTTATACAGCATAAACATTAAAGATTACTTTATATATATTTAATTGTTCTTATCCATCATTGTTGAATGATATAGTATTTGCAATGAAACACAAGATATGTATTTTGCACGTTACAAGCGATGTGAAATATTCCTATACAAACTGACGTGGAATTCGATTACATTTATTAAAGATTGTTCTCTCGAGTACATTAGATTATTTTGAACATCCTAGAGTGACTATTCTTAACAGTGAAAATGAACAGTTTCGTATCATCTTGAGAAAAATTGTAATAAAACGTATATATATACAGGACCATTTTGGCATATCCTATAGATAGCGCAGAGTTCACGATGATGATTGCATTCGCGTGGCAGCATTGCAGATGCAGATGGTGTTATACTATTTTACATAAAGATCTACTTTTCGTGTGCGGAACGGGTTCTGTGGTCGGTATATAAGCTCTCAGGGAACTACTTTCAATGCCTCTTCCTCATTAAGAGTAGAGTTGTGTTCACGTGTGGTTGTGTCTCCTTTTTCCACAAAATAGGTCACACAACCCACTTCCATTCGTGAAATAACTCTTCTATAAAAATAAAAAACCCCAAAAAAATATAAAAATTACAAAAAACATAAACAAAAAAATCGAAAAACCGTAGCTGAAAACCGCGAAACGTAAGTAAAAGTGTGGAAAAAAATAGTAATCATCGCGTTACGAACAGCAGCAACGTGGTCAGAAGAGCGTAAGCCATATTGAAGGAACGGGAGGTACCAAAAAACGTGAGTTAATCTTCAAGTTAAGCCAGTTGCACCGACGTTGAAATACTGCGAAAATGAATCCGGGAGCTCCGAATTATCCTATGGCCTCGCTTTACGTGGGTGACCTGCACGGCGATATTACCGAAGCGATGCTTTTCGAGAAGTTTTCATCGGCTGGGCCCGTGCTCTCGATACGCGTCTGCCGTGATATGATCACCCGACATTCGCTCGGTTACGCTTATGTCAACTTCCAACAACCCGCCGATGGTGAGTGTTAACGATTAACTATTTTAATACTCGTCTGACCCAGATACCCGAGATCTTCGTAAAAAGAAAAGGCATCCTTTGTTACATCATTTATCCGCGGTTGACACGTGTTTCGAACGGTACGACACCACCATATTGAAACCTACTTCGAACAAAGTAGATACCTAGTATGTAGTTAACGGTCGGTTGAGTCATGCTTTATTTTTTCAATTCCCTTACTCGATTGCTAATTCCCCTCGATACCGTTGTATCTTCTGACACGTATTACATTTCCCAATCATGGATGATAATGGATTACTATCTGCGAAGTATTTGTCACGTCCATGCCTGATTATTTGAATAAAAACGTACGAAGAATATCCCCTCCCCCCCAAGGAATTTAACAGCTTGTCCATATGGTCGTACTAATTGTTCTCCGACCACCATTAAAAATTATTAGTATCTTAAATGTTTTTCCTCGACTTAAAAAAGCGTAAATGCTGTTATATGAATCTTAGGAGGAAATTGTAAAATTCGCGTAGACAAATAAGTAATTTAATTACGGCATAGATAAGTACTTGGTATTATTTTAACTGTATTTATTCTTCTTTAGCGGAGCGTGCTCTCGATACCATGAATTTCGATATGATAAAGGGGCGGCCTATTCGCATTATGTGGTCTCAACGTGATCCTTCTTTGCGGAAATCTGGTGTTGGAAATGTATTCATAAAAAATTTAGACAAAAACATAGACAATAAAGCAATGTACGATACGTTCTCTGCTTTTGGTAACATACTTAGTTGTAAAGTAGCCCAGGATGAATCAGGCGTTTCGAAAGGCTATGGTTTTGTTCATTTTGAAACAGAAGAGGCAGCAAATAAATCTATTGACAAAGTAAACGGGATGTTACTGAATGGCAAAAAGGTATGACTCAACACATCTGACCGTCTCTCATTATTTTCGAAAACTGTGTCACACACATGTCTCATCATTTACAGGTCTACGTTGGAAAATTCATACCCCGTAAGGAACGTGAGAAGGAATTGGGAGAGAAGGCTAAGCTCTTCACCAATGTTTACGTAAAGAACTTCGGAGAAGATATGACCGACGACAAACTTAAAGAAATGTTCGAGAAATATGGGACCATCACCAGTCACAAAGTAATGATAAAGGAAGATGGGAAGTCTCGATGCTTCGGTTTTGTAGCTTTTGAAGATCCTGACGCGGCTGAGCAAGCGGTACTCGAGCTGAATGGGAAAGAGGTTGCTGAAGGTCGATGCATGTACGTCGGACGGGCGCAGAAGAAGGCCGAGCGTCAACAGGAGTTGAAGAGGAAATTCGAACAATTGAAACTGGAACGTTTGAACCGTTATCAAGGCGTGAATCTTTACGTGAAGAACTTGGACGACAGCATAGACGACGATAGGTTGCGCAAGGAGTTCGCGCCGTTCGGAACGATTACTTCCGCGAAGGTCATGATGGAGGAAGGCCGCAGCAAGGGCTTCGGATTCGTCTGTTTCTCCGCTCCGGAAGAAGCGACCAAGGCCGTGACAGAGATGAACGGTCGTATAATAGTCACCAAACCGTTGTACGTCGCTCTGGCTCAGCGCAAAGAAGATCGCAAGGCGCATCTTGCTTCTCAATACATGCAACGTTTGGCGAACATGCGGATGCAACAAATGGGTCAGATTTTCCAACCTGGCGGCGCTGGGAATTTTTTCGTACCCACTATGCCACAACCGCAACGATTCTACGGACCCGCACAGATGGCCCAGATTCGTACGACGCCGCGTTGGCCAGCGCAGCCTAATCAAGTGCGACCCAACGCACAGACCGGAAGCTCCGGTTTCGCTACGATGCAAGGACCATTTAGGGCAACTCCGCGTGCTCCGACTGCGCAAGCTGGTACAATGCGAAATACTTTATCCGCTAGACCTATCACAGGTAACGGTCGGTTCTCTCCTTGTACTTCGTCTTGAATAAGAATTTCTGTTAATTACGTTCGTCTTTCGCAGGTCAACAAACGGTCGGTGGTGCGAACATGCAGAGTCGTTCTATGGCCGGACCGACGGTAGGAGTCTCAGCCCAGAGCCGTCCGTCGAATTACAAATACACGTCGAACATGCGTAATCCACCGCAAGCAATGGCGATACCTGCTCCTACTCCTGTTCAGCAAGCTGTTCATATCCAAGGCCAGGAACCATTGACTGCGTCGATGCTGGCAGCTGCTCCGCCGCAAGAGCAGAAGCAAATGCTGGGAGAGCGACTCTTCCCGTTGATTCAATGCATGTATCCGCAACTTACCGGAAAGATAACTGGAATGTTGTTGGAGATCGATAACTCAGAGCTCCTGCATATGCTGGAGCATAACGAATCGCTGAAAGCCAAGGTCGAGGAGGCCGTAGCTGTACTGCAAGCTCATCAGGCCAAACAGGCTGTGGCTTCGAAAAAAGAGTAAAACATCTTAGGACGATTCATTTATATTCTTCCTTTATTTGTTCATAACGATTGTTCAGTTCTGTTTCTTCCTCATTCTGCGATTATCCTTGGTTTAAAACGATTATTTCAGAAGCTTTACGGTGGCTTAAGCGATTGCTGAATGCGAGAACGGCAGGAACAAATTGTTATTCAAAACTAATAATTGATCACGAAAGGGTTTTTCATCAAGTTTTATGATAATAAATTTTCCTTTAAAAATACGATCGACTTCATTATTTCCCTACCTTCGATCCTTTACGTCGATTCGATTTTAATCTTCATTTAATTACTATTAATATATTTGTATCATTAATTTTGTGTAACCAACAAATGATTGTAATGAAACTATAGAGAATAAATTATTTGAAATGTTTGAAAACTACACCAGAGTTTTTCATTCAGAGACGTATGTCGAATTTTAAATCACGTCCTCTTCGATGCGTACTTTAAATAATTTCTAAATATAAATTAAAGTGTAATAAAGTATTGATTGTCAATTCTGATCGATGCGTGGTCTAAAAATGATCACACATCAAGCAGTCTATGCGTGTAAATAACGAAGTGGTAATTGTTATTAGGGTTTTCATTTGACTATTATACGAACTAACACGGACAAAGAAAATACTGAATCATCTTTTCGCTAAGTAAATTATTTTAATAAATCCAGCTATGATAGATGTAACGATACAATTATAATATAAATTTAACAATAAGTGTCAGGTTAGTCTCCTGTCTAGTTTGTATGAAATGGAAGAAAGTATTTTGATTCAGAAAATTCAGGTTCAAAACTGGATGTACGTACAACGTATCGAGGAAAGCGGGTGACTAATGGAGTGTGAAAAGTTCTGAATAAGGACAGACGAAAGGTGAAGAATGGCTGAAGAGATGGAATCCCTGAATTATAGGGTCGCGTAGTGACACAGCCTTGTCTTATATCATTCAGCTCTACTGTACTTAAATTTTCAGGATTTTTTGTACGTTAGATTTCGAGAAAAAAAATATTGAACATCAGATCTGACAAAATCTAAAAATTTCTAATCTAAATTTCTCTATCTATCTATATAAGAATCTAATCTAACAAAAAACAAGAAATAGAAATGATCGATGGAAAAGATTGCCAATATTCGTACGTGTACTACTCTCATACTAGTACATCTCTGAATTTTTTTATCAAATTCCATTTCCTTGGAATCGGAGAAGAAAATTGGCCAAAATGTCCAAAATTCGATCAAACAGACGAACGCGTTATCCAACAAAAGTACACGTGTATATGTATAGTGCCATGTACGTAAATGCAGCTGCAATTGTACGTTATATTCCTTTGTCTTTATCCAACAGTGCTCGGCCCAAGTGCTTGCAGATGTTACTTCACTATGCTTTTCTGAATAGATAGACGACGACCGTGGAAAGTGAAATAAAGAAAAAGATTCGAAAAGTCCAAACATCTGGTATTCCCAAACATCGGCACACTCAATTGCATGGGCTTACCGTAAATCACAGTTTTTACAAACGACTCTTTCGGTATTAGCAGGTTCTTAATCTAAATTATGACGATGGATACCTGTGTTTGACCACTTACCTGCGAGTCGGATACCTGTACACGGTGGTTCAACACACAGATGCTACCTGAAGGAGAATTATTTATTTTCGAACGTGTCCAAGGGTTTGACTGGCGATGTATACGTTTGCGCTTTTTATTTTATTAAAAAACGCGTGTACTCATTCCCAATCCTAATTGTAACGGTGGATACGTTAGGCGCTTCCTGAAGGGGAATTATTTATTTTCAAACGTGCTCAAATACATGACTGGCGATGTATACGTTCGCGCTTTTTCTCTTATTAAAAAACACGTGTTCTTTCACCGTGTCCCTTCGTGCTGTAACAATGAACAATTGAAAACGTTGGGACTCCTTGGGCTTGGAGTGTTGCACACGTGCAAAGGATTAACTTAATTGTTACTCCGAAGGTACGGGGACAACATTTTTCTACGCTTTCACATCGTCCAGGTTTTATTGCGAGCTGCACGTTGTTGGGGTTGCAAACAATGGGGAAAGAGTCTTTTCTCCGGTTTCGAGTCGACGCCAGAAAAAGGATGACACATGCCTGTTTTATTTTAGCAGTCGTTTCTTCCTTCTTCAAGTGGTAGTCCTTTTTTTTATGGCGATCGTAGTACTCAGCAGTACTGCACATCTGGTTTCTGTCAGAGAAAATTAGAAGATTATTGAGGGTTTTAAGGGGGAGACTGCGTCCCATCGATGCAAGTCTTCTTAACGGTCAACGGATTTGGGCATAAAGCACCATAAAAAACCGGTCGATGGTCATACTGGCGTTGGGGGGTCCTTAAGACAGTTAAAATCTGAGGGTCACTCGTCTTAACGACAATGTTTCGAGTAAATTGCAGAGTTTTGCCTGTATCACGTCTTTTTAACGCCCTTATTTGATTATTTATGCAATCCTCTGTGCCAAACCTGATCCGAGTGTGAATAAAACTTAAATGTTGCATTTGCACCTGACTTGAAAAGTAAGAAGTTTCGGCTTTGTCATTTTCCGCGTTTATCACTTCTTACTTTTTGCATATTTTTACTATTTATATTTAGTCATACGCTTTGCATACATGTTTTCATTATTGATTTTAATCTTCGGCTTTTATAAATTATTCATCGTTCATTATTCAGATATAATTACAACAATCCCTTTATTATTCTTTCGTTGCCCCAATCTTTTGGATGGAAGAAATCTTTGTAACGAGAGGGGACTTCTTTTCTTAGAATCATCATGAGAAAAGTATGCGCTCGCCGTGCAGTATCTAATCTATATCAATAGCGCTGTGTTGTGCGGCTAATTGTAAGAAAAGTGTTAAATTTCACGGCGTAAGAACTATAGTCCGTACAGAAATTAGAATCAACTTATCGGCTCGTCGTGTACTTCAATTAGTCAAATAATAAGAATATTTTGCGATTAGAATTACGTACAGAATCATTTGTATTTTGCTGATGACAATTGAATTTTTGCATTTACAGATAAATTCTAAATGAAACATTGGATGCACTTACATAAATGTACATATCTTGAAAACATTTAAATTATTTAACGATAAGCGTTTATATACTATGTATACTATGTAATATATTATTCGAGCAGCGTTGAGATATTTTTTCCCTCACGGCTCGCTTCCCCTGTTTTTCGCCCGTATTTCGATCCCCACTACTATTCTCCTCATGCGCCTTCACTGACTATGCCTAGCATACCCCCGTCAAGTACCAGTCCCCACCATGGTCGCGTCGTCTCCACTTTTCGGCCGAGGGAAAAAATATCTCAACGCTGTATTCGAGTTGCGTCTTGCGTCTCGAATATCCCGGCTCTTCTCCTTCCACTTTTGCTGGGCTCGCCAGAGTTGGAGTGGGAAGAGAAAAGAAAAAATCCAATTGGTAGACGCAGGTACTTTTTGCCATCTCGACTGGTGATAGGTGGAGAACTCACTTTGCGGACATAGAATGGAGTTTGCGAAAGGGTCCCCTTATCGACGATAAACAGGAGGGAATGTTAGATTCAGTTGAGTTGTCACCGCAGTGGTTAATACTCTGCACCGTTTAGAAGTATTAAAGACTGGTTGGACAAGTTCGCGATTGATTTTGTCTGTGTACGACGTCCGGAGATAGAAAGGTACGTGCATCCTTTGACCATTCGTAACGGTGGCCTAAATTCTTTTCCCGTGAAATATTTTATAGTTTTTCAAACTATCCCCGTGTTTCAACCGCGAGGTCGATTGCTCGCCAGTTTTGTTTATTTATTTGGTACGAATACGTGATGGTAACTATCGGTATCGCGTAAACTTTATGCTGTTTCGTGTACAGCTGTTGTCCTATTTTGCGTTCGATTTTACGCACCAGTTACATATCATCAAGAACTATAATTGGTTTCGTCAAATTACATGACGTCAAGGTAATACATTTATTATTTCCTCGACACGAGCATTCACAGTGCTCTTTGCCAATAGTACATTCTTTCTTTTCTATAAAAAATGTACACTTTGATGACATTGCTATCTCGTACTGTCAATTGTTCAATTTGTTATTCGCTTGGTATACAATAGTGCATTATCGGAGAACTATGAATCTCACGTTATATATCTATCTACGTTGTTATCTACCTATCTACATTATTATCGTGTCCACATTATTTTAGATCGAAGGATATTTAAATGAAAATGTTTTAAATACTATTTACTGTTAATGTAACAAAATCATATTACATATGGAGGGTCACTATGTCGTTCCGTAACAACCCGTAAATATCTGGATGAACATATTGTCTTAAATACGTTTAGAGTTTAGAACCATTGTCGGATATGAGGATTTTAATCGGGTCGAATAACTGATCCATTCCCCTTACTCTGACATTTGACAATCATTTTCATTATCAATCCCTGTACTACCGATTCGATCGCCATTTGCCGGCGTTGTTCCAGTTGTAACAGTTTCGTTTCATCATTTACGCATTACAGACATCAATCTGTCGTACACTTCCCTGTTTATTCTATTCGTACAGTTATATGATCCCGTCAAAATACGCAACAAAGAAATATTTAAATCAATCGTTACGTTTTTTCACTTCGATTGAAAATATCTGTGACACAACTACATACGCGTAATATTGAAACCGCATTTTAATTCGTCACTCGTCTGATAGTTTTCGTTATCAAGACATTTCGACATGTCTTCATGGATTTGTAAGGTCTATAGAAATAAATCATCACTTTTTTTCGACGAGTTGGTTTAAAACAATCGTTGGTTCACTATTGTAATATGAACGTTTTCAGGCTCTAGGAAGCATAATCTGCTTGATCTTTTGATTATCCTCGATAGTATTTCCTTGTATAAGGAGCAGCAATAATGACGAGCAGAGAAGATGTTATTCAGAATGTACGTGCATGCTTGTTGACATCAAAGGGTAGTGTCGCGATAGACAATTTAAATAGTAAGTAAACTCTGTTTCGATGCATCGAATTGAGTGCAAGAAACAATTGCTGATTTACGTCTATACTTTCGTAGGAGATTATCGAATGCTCATTGATGAAAACATACCGTTTAGAACCCTAGGATTTCAGTCTTTAGTTGGCTTCTTGCGTACTATTCCTAGTATTAAACTTATCGATAGAGGTAACACGCATTACGTGGAGGCTATACCTACTGAAGAGTCTGCACACATTACCAAATTAATTGCACGACAAAAGACATCGTCTAAGAAGAATAAGAAATTGGTGAACATTTCATCTATACAGTTGGACTGAAACATAGCGTATATGATACATGATTTATTTTCTAAACGTCACACGATTTCAGGTGAGGAGTCAAGGACCTCTGTCATTCCGTCAGCCCATGCAAAGGAATACTCGTAGTGTAAATAACGACGGTAGTAATATGTATTCAAAAATGGGTGCGAGGTAAATTCACTAGTTTCTTTTAATTTGTGTCACATTTTTGAGGATCTTTGAAGATCTTGTTAGCTACGTACAATTTAATATTGTCGAGAATTCAGGAAATCATTGACCATGCGTTCTCTCTTAGGAATCCGTTGAGTGTTTCGTTTGGAACGACAGTTACTCATCAATATAATGAGAGGCCCAAATTCATGCCAACCAATTATACGACACCAGCAAGTGCTCCTAGTACAGTGAGTAATGTAATCTTCATAGCGTCAAGTATATTAATATCAGAGAAATGAAACGTGGCCGCTTGTTTCATTTCAGAGACTGAAAGAGAGACAAGTGAACGCTCTTCCGGTGTCGAACCAAAGTGTCAAAGATCCTAGACAAGACTTACAAGCAAAGAGCAATGTAAAGGCAATAACGCCAGTGATAAGTCAGAAACCAAAGACTGTTAATAACAACGCGGAAGTGTATCATAAGAAAGCTTCAAACATAAGCGATAGACTTAACGTAACTCCTAATCTCGACAAATTAATTCAAAGTCTGCACATGAACATTCCATCGTCGCAGCAATCCCACGTATTGTCGCCTCTTTCACCCGGACAACTTATAGCAGAATGCAAATCAACTCATCAGCAACAGTTAATGAATTCGCAGCCGCAACCATTGATGGATATAAATGTGAAACCACCGATAAATACGCATCAGCAACCGTTGATTAATTCACAGCCGCAACTATTGACGAGTGGAAATCAGAAACCATCGATAAATTCGCATCCGAAACCATTGACAAATCCACATCAGCCGATATTAATGAATCCGCAGTTTCAACAGAGGCTACCAATGAACTTATCACAGTTTCAGCAGCCACCGATAAATTCACCACAATTACAGCAGTCACAAATAAATTCACCACAGTATCAGCGATCACCAGTAAATTCAGTACAATTGCAACAGCCACCGAACGATTCTTTACCATCCGTATGTATCTATACTGTCAAAAGGAATTCACCTTCCTGTATCGATGATAACATTTTTTGAGGTATTGCAGTTAAGAATGAATGCACAACCAGTCGTGCCAAAATCACAATCAGTTGATCCAAGGGAGGAGTTAAAGAGGAGAGCTATTGCACTCAATCTACCAGAGCCTGTGTATCAAATTTTGCCCATGACAATTAAGCGTGCTAAACACCTAGCTGTGTTCGCGAAAGTTAAGGTTGGTACTAATGTGTTATTTTAGACCAGATCGTTGAAGCAATGGATCATCGATCAGGAACCTTAAATAACGAAAACGTGTTCTCAGGTTGGCCAATACGACTACGGGAGTTATCCAGAAGAAGCGCGTACCGAGGACGAGGCACAGAAGATCGCGGCGAACAATGCTCTGCTCGATCTTACTGAGAAGTATGGACTACCGTACAGTTTGACCGAAACTAAGGACAAGGACTTGATCAAGAAACGAATCTTGTCTATAATAGACGCTCATCCGAGCGGCATATTCATGCATCAAATTCCGGTGTATTATAAGAAAGAATACCAAGAAATTCTCCCGGTGAATTGGGAGAAGGACATTGAAAAGTGTCCAGAAATAGTTTTAGAAAAAGGAGCTGACAACTCGATAATTCTACGTCGATTTGTTTCGTCCCCTGAAAAGGTAAAACGATACCGACAGATCATATATTTATCTGTAAAACAGCTAAAATGACTAATTAATTCATTTTCAGATTCGACATGTGCCTCCATCGAAAGTGGATAAAGTACAACTGAATCCAATTGGGATTGCAGTTCCCGAAAAGTTAGAATTACCAGAGAGCAGATATTTCAGTGCAACGGTTAACTGCGTTGTGAGCACTACGGAGATATGGATCAGGATCATAGACGACTCATATTCTGTGAGTTAAAAGGAATCATGTAAAGAACAATTATTTAATTGACTATCTACGCGTGTTTATAACGTTCTCATTTGTCAGGATCCATTCTTTGCTTTGATCACCGAGATGAGCCAGTGTTATAGTAAGGTCCAGCAACCTACCAAGCCACAAGCAATTAAAACTGGAAATTACTATGCCGTCTACGTAGACGATTCATGGCACAGAGTTCGTTGCGTAGATTTCGATGCTACAACTGGAGATACTATCGTGTCGTTTATTGATCACGGTGACGAGGATGTTTACCATTATAGCAAATTATATCCGTTGGATAAGAAGTACTGCGTGTTTCCAGCTCAGGTACGTTCGTTTTAATTGAAACTGTGGCGCACAGCACGCGCAACTGTGAGTTTATTTGTAGCGCAAGTGGTAAATCTTATTGAATCAACGAACGAGCATATCATTGAACATCTTTTTATATCGTTTAACAGGCTGTGAGAGTGTCTCTTTCTGATTTGGAAGACTTTAGTGATTACGATAGTATCGTCGATCAAATGGAGAACTTGCTCCTCGGTCGGAGTTTGTACGTCGAAATAATCAGCCGCGACGGTGATAAAGATGAACCGACCGCGACTGTTATATTTTACGATACGAACGGGCAAGAGGACGTCGATGTAAACGCACAACTGTTTAGCTATCTCTCAGAAACAGTACTGGTTGCTCCTAAACTGAACGCTGTAAGTACTCTACTTTTCTAACGCGTAATTAATCACAATTCAAGTATTGATTACTACTTTCCATGGCATGTATCCTCGACATAATCACATTTAGACGTAATTAATGCCGGCGGTCTACGGATTGAAGATAGCTAATAGAAATGTAACATTTTTTATTGTTCTCAGGGAGGACAAGTGTCTAAAGTATTTATCTCGCACGTAGAACCGAGTGGCGAAGTTTACGTTCAAGTGCAGTCTGAGAACATGAAGCTCTTGATTAGTTTATTAAATCGACTGATATCCACCAAAATAAATTCGGAGGACAAAAAGAATAGCATAGTTTCTAGGATCGGTGTTAGTAGAACGTATTTCGTATCGGTAGACAATAATTGGTACAGGGGAAAAATTATCGACGTTGTCTCTAACGATCAATTCAGAGTATTTTTGATCGATTACGGAAAGACCGTGATCACGTCCATAACGAATCTTCTTGATCTGAGAATACTATCTCAAATATTAGCTGATTACCCTCCTCAGGTACAGTCGCTATTTTTGATACTCGGTAAAATTTATCTACTCGTGTACAACATATCACTTTTATTAACAGGCGATAAAAGTACATCTTCACAACATTGACAAATCAATGTTCAACGAGAAGATGGTGACCAAGCTAGTAGAGCTCGCTCCAGAGGGTGAACCGCTTTTGTTGAAAATCGTTACGATCGAAGACGGCACGCCTGTCGTGGAAATGTTCAGAAGAATTCAGCCAAGTAACATGCTCGTTTCTCTGAACAATACGTTGGCTTTGGAAGAAGAACTCATTAAGTATGTTATAAAGAATCAAATTACAAATCTTATTAACAAGAACAGAAAACAATAATTGTCGTCTCTTCGATTCGTAGAACGAATGGCGACGGTAACAATAATGTGAAACCCAGGAAACGGATAGAACGTATGAATTCTAAACTTGCGGACAATGAGAATGGTGACTACCGATTGTCATTGAAACCACCGAAAATTGGTGCTATTCGCGATTATTTTGACGTGCACGTAACGATGGCGGCACATCCTGGGAATTTCACCGTGCAACCCTACGATGACAAGCAAGCATTGCAGGTAAGCTATTTCGCCAACTAGTATTTGACGATTTAATCATTCGCCTGGCAGAATTATCATAGATCCTTTCGTTTTTCAGTCTCTAATGAAACAATTACAAAAAGCTTGCAAAGTATACAATGGTCCTACACCAAGTCCCGAATCGATTCAAAAAGACAAACTTTATGCGGCGCAACACGATGACAACAATTGGTACAGGTATGAAGACTAATGTACGAACGTACATTTTATATTCCCGTACTCTCCGACATCTGTGGAATCACTGGCCCATGATAATGATTTTCCGTCATTCACTTTTTATTTCTTTATAATTACTTTTTAGGGTTTGCGTTTCAAGCGTAATGAATGACAACATGGTCAGCGTTTATTTCTGCGATTTTGGGAACGTGTCAGTACTGGAGCTGGATAAGTTGCAACCTTTGAAAAGCGAATTCTTTGACCTACCTTATCAAGCCATTAAAGCGAGACTCGTTGGTACATAATCGTCTTCTCAAATTTTACATCTTCAACTCTACCTACGAGTAAAATTTCCTTTATTCATTCTTGATTAATCACTTGCGCAGGCATACGACCCATCAACGGTGACTGGTCTGCTGAAGACAGCTTTCTATTCCAAAAATTGGTCGTAAACAAAAGTTTCGTGTCTGTGGTCGTCGAGTCTGCGCACGACGAACTTTCCCCAGCGGAAACTATACTGGGGTTGAAGTTGATCGACGTTACTACCAACAAAGATATTTACATCGACAAAATTCTCGTAGACGAAGGCTGTGCCGTATTCGTTGATTAAGTACTGACAGATATACACAGGTTGTATTATACAGAACTCGTTCGATGAGGGAAACGGGAGAGTGCCGTAGATGAAATTAACGATTGACATGTTGTTTCCGAATTTCTCTATACATCGTGTACAAAAAGCTCAAACGATTCGTCTTTATCACATTTTACAACGGTCGACCGCAGGAAGCGATAGCAGCTGTTACGCGTTCCTATGCTTCCTTCGGTAAGCCAGAGCTCGACGCTCATCGCGGGGAGTAGAACTGTTGGGACTCGGTATGTACCTGCAGACAATTGTTTCCTACATGTGTGCTAAAAGATCGTTAACTGTGTTTCACGATCGAGAACGTAGCTACTTGTATATAAAATGATGTTTATATTTGTGCAAAAAATACTTGTCAAACGTATAAAACAAACAGTTGCGTTTTATGTATGTACATATTATCTGCAGCTACTCACAGTATCCCACAGAGATTGTTTTTTTTTTTTCATTCTTCGTTTTTTATTTGGTAATAGTTATTTATTAATTTAGAGATTATTTGTTTTCAAGTTCCATACAGACGTGAGTTTCTGCGGGTTTTTGAACGTTTGAGATTTTATGCGTAGCTTGAGAATAACTTCCTTTCAGAACGATCGCGCACACGATTTCTCAAGACTTTTTGTTGACTTATTCGTAGATCGACTCTCTGTTCTTTCATTTTTTCCTTTGCGCAGAGTTAACGAGAGGAACGTGTTAACTGAAATAGGCTGTGTGCGATTAACAGCATTCCATTTGTTTTTATAGTTAGCCTTTGCTGCTAATTACAAATTACTATTATCCCTTTTTATTTTTTCTTCTTTTAAAACAAGTTTATCGCTTCTAATTTAATTTGTTAATGTAATTATACGCAGTTTAAGGACACGTTATATCTTTTATACGTTTTAATAGTACATCGTTGATATAAGAAAAGTAACACTCGCTTCATTTAATATATTTATAGCTATTGTTAGATATACGTTCAGCCCTCGCGCGGATCTCGCGATCCCGCGGCATACCCTGCGTATCAAAGCCTATACTACGAATTCATTTTATTTTAAGCGACTATTTACTCGTTCAGTATTCTCCAGTTAGACTAAATTATATGCGTAATCGCTAGATTTAAAGATATGCTGTTTTTAGAATATTCTTACTTTCCTAAATTCGTGAGATGATATTGTAACTTCGCGGCAAGATATTCCGTTATGGTATATATATTTTTTTATTACTTCAGAACAGGTGCCAATAAATACTAACGTTTTCACGAATTTTGTGGTGTAACAATTATTTCACAAGCTACCTTTGCCTGAATCACTGTTTCTTTCGCGATACATACATATTATCTCTCGCCCTTTCAAACAAACTTGGAAACCGTCAGCTTCAGTTTGCGGCAGCGATATAATTTGTATCTCAATGTAAATGGACATAACGTTTCTCTGCTTTGTCTCTTCGGTTTTTATTGATCGCTGTAACGAACGATACACGGCATCTGTACCAAGAAGAACCGCACGATCAGAAAGCGCACGCATTGCGCTAATAATTAATCGTCGATCATCAGGCTCCTCACGCGTCGATGATCGGCTTTCGTAGAACTCCGCGACATGATGTTCTAAATCAATGTACGAACATGTACAGAGTACTAGAAATAAAATTCATTTAATAACATGTCACCTCGATCGTTAAAGATTGGTTGATTCTGTACTTAATCCTGTTAACGATCCCTCGTAAATACGTGAGGAACGTATATTCTTACGGAGAAGATCGACACGGCTGGCATTTTAGTATCCGTTCAGGACGAAATCATTTTCTATATTCTCTCGATCATCCCTTCTTTCTCGTCGCGTACAAGGGGGGATGAAGCAAAAGTATCTGACTGACGTCAGGAGAGGCAGCGCGCGGTGACACCGTTCGCGTTACACTCACTCGTTTGAAGATCGGGTACCCGGTAATAACCGATTTCGCTGGCGGAGCCGCGATTCTGTTGATCGTTCGGCGGATGCCACCATCCTGCGGTTCTCGACATCCGTTACCAATTACGTACGCGGACGGCGGCGGTCTTGATGCTGGGACGAAGCGGTCGCACGGAGTCACGCGCTTATACCCCGTAGACGAAGGTCGACAGGTAACGTAAAAGAGAAACCACGATCAGGACTCAGAACTGTACAAGATCATTCCAGTTTATCTTACCGTTTCAGCTTCGTTCTCCTCTCTTAGTCGCCTCTTAACGAGAACCGTCTCGGTCTTCGCGCGCGCCTTTCAATCCCAATTGAGCCTCTTAAGTTCGGCGCTCGTCGCCGAAGCGAGATTCGAATCTGAATTCATCATTTGAAACCGCGAGTCTCAAGACAGTGAAAGACCTCGACGCGAACATTCTGAATTCGGTATTGCGACGACTGAACTGTCTCACTCGTCTGATGAACATCGGCGATTATTTTCTATCCGACGATACGCGCTCATCGATGTTCAAGCATAAAAATAAGCGGGATCTTTTCACCGTTATAATGGAACAGTCTCTCGCGAAGACCGAGGGGGATTATTTTAACGCGCTGTAATATTTTTATATAAACGCCACGCGTCAGAAAACAGACTTCTCAACGTAAATGTTAATACTCCAGCGTCGAGTAATACGAATTAGAATTTTATAGAAAAACGGTGAGACGGAAGAGGGGAGAACAGTTGACCGTTACACACTACTCGATCAGACTGAAGACACTCAGATCACTCGATTAGAATCAAATACGGAATGAAGCTGATAATCGACTGAGAAGTCGCGAAGTTCTAATGCGTTTCGTCAAATTGAGAGAACGTACATACGTCCGTTTCTAATTACGTGTGGGTCCATCGCCGCCCGTTCGAACGTCACGCGTCCGCGACGTTACAGTAATTCAATATCATTGCGATTGAGATCGTCCTATCTCTGAGCCGGCGGTTCGATCGTTGAAAGCGGTACAGCTATCGAGAGATTAATTCTGGCGAAGTGACCGTGATTGTTTGACTTGGCGAAGGAGAAGGCGAAAGCAAATAAATTCTTTGAGCTACGCTGGCCCGGGACATTAGAGGAATTGGCTTCGTTTCTTAACAAGTTCTGGTTTAAGGTGTGTGAAAATGCCGGATACTAAGGCAATTGCACAGCTGACAATCACAACGTGAGCAGTTGTTCGTTTCGCGGATCATCCGGGGGATAATGATTACAGAACAGACCTGGAGCATGATGCTGGACAGCGATGTCGCGGGCATCAATGAGTAAGTATTTTCACTTATGTACGCCGTTCGCTATACTCTCCTCTGTATACGCGACAGAACGATAGAAATTAGAAAAAGATAAAAGAACAATGCTAAGTAGGTACACATAACGTACTCGTGCAAAGGAAGAATTTTCAATTGTTTCTTTGTTTAATGCGACACGTCATTAACACAATAACACTGTTCGGTAAGTTTGAAGTACCAAGCCAGGTGTATCGATGACATCTTCTTGTGTTTTTGTCTCGGTGTTTTACACACAGGCACACATTCTCGACAATTCATTCACGAGGACACGTTCCGTCTTCTCTTTCTTTATTTTTTCTTTTATCTTTCACATTCCTCGTTCGTCTTTTTCGTTTGGATGCAACGACTCGGTGGTTTTCTTATTTTCAATGAATTAGCTGCGATGATGGATCGTACGCGCAAGAACTGTGCCCGGATCGATAGTACTGCATATTTTAAAAATATGTCTGCACCAATTATTATTATTATGTATCGTTTATACGTCGGCGAGAATCATCTCCTACAGGGAGGGACCGGACACCTACTTAAAAATCCGCCTAAACTGGAAGTTGTATATTCAAAACGTGCAATGTCCAAATTAATAGTTGAACACGAATTATGTTTGTTGTCAAAAATAAAAATGTCGATAATAATGAAATTCTGTGAGGTTTGTAGAATGATCAAATTCTGACGTAAAATAGAAGTACACTTACACTTTCGTTTTATCCCCATTTCCGGTTTAGGTGGACATTTTCACAGTCGATAAAAAATCATATTCGAATATCGATCTGAATATTGTTACCTGTACAATTTTCGTTCTCCTGTGATCGTCGATGATTCTAAAACGCCTTCCTCTTTGCCCTCCTCTTAATGTGACGTTTTCGAAACGATTTTACACCGTGTCGAATATATCAATCGTCTCTAAAGAAGCAGAACTTTTCGAAACTTCACACAAACCTCACGATGCTCTCTCGCTCGATTTCAATCGAGACGAAATAACGAATTCGTTGCTGTAAACAGAATTACTACTAACATTGTTTTAAAAATGTTTGTAAAATGTTCGTATCGGAGACCTTGCAACGATGGAAGTTGTTTACCTGTACTTATCGTGACCTGCATAAATGTTTTGCAGCTTCGTTTATACGCGAAATAATTAGGGGATCGTTTGCGTTAAACACGTGCCCGCGTTTTGTGCAATTTCGAGGATGATGATATGGCGTCGTTCAGATAATAAATTTCCAGAACGTTTGGAATTCTGACTTGGTTTTCAAAAACCGTTACTTTTGTTCCGAGTCCGATCACTGAAATCGCTAATAATAAAAATAATAAAAATAATAAAAATAATAAGAGAAAGAATCTCGCGATCTTCTAATTACTTCGCGCTACCGATTTATATATAATCGATGTGGACAGGAACATGCATTCGTGTACGAATCTCCTAGATGTTTTGAGTGTTCCTCCGAGAGTTCACCAAGAGTTCGGATGATTAACGCGAGGCGTTCGCTTCTGGTACCAATAGGTTGAGTATTTCCCCGAGGAAACAATTATGGATCAAGGCCGTGAAGAAACTCACTTCCGAGAGGCTGGGCAGGGAAGGATTGGCGGCATGGGAGGAAGTCCGGAAGGCCAACAACGATCCGGAAGTTCCAGAAGATATCGAAGACGCGACCGAGCCGAACGAGGACGCCGAAGGCTCTACCGATCCGGACGTGGCTCTCGCCGATCAGCCTGTCGACACTGAATCTCAAGCGCAGCGAGGTGACTCTCGATAACTACCAGAATCGGTAAATTCATGTTAAGGTTGTATGAGCTGTAAAATCCTTGCCGAAGATTTAAGACATGTAACAAAAATTTCAATACGTCGTCATTGTTTCTGTGTAAGAGTTCATACAACCTTAATGGCTGTCGAAGAGATTGAAGCTCGAGAATCCCATGTACGTCGCTTCATGCTTAAAAAAATCCACAGTGTTTCTCATGACATTGCTTCTCGAGAAAGACTCGAAATTCTCCGGTTCTTCGCTTTATCACTACCGCGAGCTTGAATCGGTCGCCGTTTATCCGATCAGCGGCGAGCAACGTGTTATTAATTTATTTCACACGTACAACCTTCCGCTATAAATACTGCTGGATATTTTCAGATGTTTTCAAGAAGGGCGTGCTCTATAAGGGAATATTTTGTCCGTCGCTCTCGAACAGCTTCCACAGCAAACAACTGGAGACGTCGTACCTCCATTATTCCAATCGTCAGCGTCAGAAATCGTTGATCATGCTCAATATCGTTGATCTCAGCTTGAAGGTAAACCGATCCCTGAACACGGTCGGTGAAAAATCCCTTCGGACGTGCGAGCGTACGAAGCAGGGGCGCGTCGGTACCGGAAAATTCGGGTCGAGAATCATCTATACCAGAGGTGGGGAACGTGCGGCCTCCTTTGTTACCTATTTAAATGTGGCCTCTAATGGTAAAAAGATTCCCCACCTCTGGCCTGTACGTAAATACAACCATGCTGCGAATGTAACGACGGAATTGAATTTCGAGCCCTGAATTGATAAGCGCGTCCCGTAATTATGGATACCCGAGGTCAAGCTTTCCCGCGCATCCACGGTACGAAGGCAGGCGTTTTCCGACCGACCGTAACGTATCGGACCACGAAACGTCTCGTCTAAAGTGAAAATCGTGCAGACCGATCGAAATCGGCTTCGCGTAGTATATTCTGTATGGCGTTCCTTGATATCTGTTTCATACGACTCATCGGGAGACCAGATCATCCTCTTGGCGATCTGGCTGTGGAAGAGGGACGAAACCAGCGCCGGTCTGATCGAATCATTGTCCTGGGCGTCCTGTTGCATGGCCGCGAATCTGGCGGTTTGCATCCTCGGCTGGTGGCGGTGTTTCTCCAATAATTATTTGTACTGGGCTTCCATCTTCACTTGGTTACTGATTAATTCGCAAGGTGATTCTTTTGATGAAAGATCTCGACCATCACACAGGCCGTTGACCGATTCCTGATTGGAAACGGAGTGAAACTACGCGCACGTGTCCGAGCAGATAACACCGTTCATAGTCGGACGAAACGAGTCGGTAGACCCGCGGTCGACCGGCCGTCGCGTTTTAATATCTATGTATAGACATGTAAAAACGTGCTTCTGGTAAGATTGTATCTTCGTTTACCGAATAGAGTTTTGCTCCAGTGGCTCGTGCGTTGGCGGTCCAGCGAATTGCTTGAATGTTCACCGGACCGTAGTGAGAGAGACGCGGTAGAACAAACTTATACTATAGCCACGGGTCACTATTGATCGCCGATCCTCCGTCGTTGTTTAACGTCGACCCGACGACCGCTGCCGTTCCTTTGACGAATTCGATTTCGATCGACCGTAGTTTTTTACCAACGACTCGCGAACCCCTCCAGTCCGACGACATTCTCGAGGATTTGAAAATTAGGTCATAACTAGAATAATTTCAACACTCTACTCTTATATGCACCCGGCTCGATTGCAGGTTTTATAGGAGCCGGTCTAGATTTCTCCAACCAGCAGCGTCTCATGTGGTACATACTCTTCGTGGTGTACGCGCCGTACGCGATGCTTCCACTGCCGTTGAGATGGTGCGTTCTCGCCGGCTATGGTACAGCCCTGACTCACATGGTCTTAGCGGGAATAACTCTGTTGCGAGACCCGACATACGTAAGAATCCTTGGTCCACGTTGTATACTCTCTTATTCACAAGTCCCATTTCTTCCCCTTCTGCGTACTTTCTTTGCGTTAGCGCGATCCACCGTACGCTTCGCCCACCAGCAGCCACTACCTTTCCTCGCTAAAGTATGTCGTTTGATTTTGCTATTGCAGCTGCATGATGTCACGTGCATAGTTCGAATGCTAACGACCAACGTCCTTCTTTATCTTGCAATGAATCTAGCTGGCATGTACACTAAGTATTTGACAGACAGAGGACAGAGACAGGCTTTCCTCGAGACGCACAGGTCCATGGAGACCCGGCAACGGACTCAGAACGAGAACAACAGGCAGGAGAAGTTGCTACTATCCGGTGAGACATCCTTTCGACATATGTAAATTCGCGCCAGCGATCAGAGAGAATAGCTGATCACGATTATAAACGTGCATATGCGCGTGGTTCTATCTGATGATCGCGTACCGCCCGACGTGTGTTCGAGTATATTTATACGTTCGTCGGACGTGTTCGAATGAGCCGCATACTTATATAAAGACGCACGAGGTTGCGGCGCAACCACGGGGTTCGTCGGCGCGTGTAATTTGCTCAGCCGAGTGTCAAAAAGGGTCAGTAGACACTTTCGCCCGATTGCGCCAGATATGTTTTACCGATAGCCTCTGTCAGTACATACGTACTTTGCTTTTACGTATTATCGATCCCTCGGCGATCATTCGTTTAGGGAATATAACGGGCAAACTAGAATGGGAATCCTTCGTACCTCTCATTTTGATTATAATAATACACGCGAGGCGACCGGAGGTTGCGCGCGATCCGCGTGTCATGATGGATGGATTCTGTTGTAGTTTTACCAGATTTCGTGGCTAAGGAGATGATCAGTGATATCGCACGCGAAACAGCTCGTGGTGGGACGATCTCCTTTACACCTAATCAGTTTCACAGGATATACATTCACCGTTACGAAAATGTTAGCATACTGTTCGCTGACATAAAAGGTTTCACTGGTACGTAAGTTGTTCCGTGTTAAATTCCCTGGAGCACGATTTCGGAAGTCTCAGTTCGGCGATACTCACCTCTTCATGATTTCAGTTTGCTTTTCTGAGATGACACGACCAGCTGTGAGACTTCATTTCTTCCTTCCTGCATTTCTCCTTCGTTTCTCGAGCGATTCCATCCCAACGAGTAAACTCCGCGTTATTTTATTGTTAAAATCTTTCATGAGATTTCTACAGTTGATTCATTGATCCAGACGTTGCACCTTTCAAGTACTGATCTAGAGCCGTTTGGCTCAATGATTCTCATTCACGATTTTCCCATGAAGCTTTAGCGAGCCAGTGTAGCGCCCAGGAGCTGGTGAGAGTGTTGAACGATCTGTTCGCACGTTTCGACAAGCTGTCCGCGGAGAACCATTGTCTGCGTATCAAACTACTCGGGGACTGTTATTACTGCGTTTCGGGACTGCCGACAGCCAGAAGCGATCATGCTCACTGTTGCGTCGAAATGGGCTTGTATATGATCAAAGCGATAAGGGACGTGCGGTACACGCAAAAGGTACACAGTGATACCGTGAATATCGTTTCATTACGATTTAGAAGGGGAGCAAACGTAGCTTCGTACATAAATATGGTGTTACCGAGATCATACGTTTTTAAGTTTCGTCTGACGCTGCGACTGTAAGAGGGTTTCGTTTAGGTCGATCTGAACATGAGAATAGGGATTCATAGTGGCTCGGTTCTGTGCGGTGTGCTTGGACTTCGGAAATGGCAATTCGACGTCTGGTCTTACGACGTCACGTTGGCTAATCATCTCGAGAGCGGAGGCATTCCAGGGTAAACGTGTCAAATTTTACCTCTGTCCACTCGCCGCTTTCGTTTCAATTTGATCTTGTCGAAGTCGTACGTAGAATCGTAGAGAAGAAAAGGGAATTGACATTTCAGGAGGGTGCACATCTCGGAGGACACTTTGGACTGTCTGAATGACGTGTACGAAGTTGAGCCGGGGAACGGAACCGAGAGGGACAATTACTTGAAAGAGAGGAACGTGGTGACGTATTTAATCAAACAGGTCGAACCTTTGAAGTCGAGGCGGCGATATTCTTCTCGGCCAAAGATATGGTCCGAGGACGACGCGAACAAGAGCAAAAAGAGTTTCAAACTGAACAACCCTCTGGCCGCGAACAGCAGCGCGCCGAATTCATGCACGGATGACGACATCGGCGTCGACTGGACGCCAGAGATACCGTTTGAAAACGTTCGTTTGTCTGCGGTTTCCCGACACAGAATCGAATCCGAGCGTTTGACCAAAATCCTCGGATCTGGTTCTGGACCGCGGAGAACGTTCAGAGTTTAACGACCATTTCTGAACGCAGTTGAACACCGCGCCGTCGGTCAGTAACTTGGAGGCGGACTACCTCGAGGAAGAAAACGGTACCTCGAAGAGCGCCAAGTCTCCGACCGCTGGACTCGAAAGCGCGAGCAACAAGCGCATGAGATTGGCGAACATCAACACTTGGACGTTACGTTACAATGACGAGAGTCTGGAATCGAAGGTGAGACCGGAGTCCCCGTACAATAATTTGTCCTGATCTCGATGCTACATCTTTGGGAACGTTTCCAGTTCGGTCAATTGCGGGAGGACATGTTCAAATCCAACATGATATGCTGCTTCGTCGTGTGGATATTCATAGCTATTTGTCAAGCAGTAATACTGCAACAGTGAGTGAGCAGCGTCGATTCACAATCAAGGGTCGTTTTAATTCGTCGAAATTCTCTCTTCTTTTATAGCTGCGTCATTCTTTTGGGTTCTCTCTCGCTTACCACATTGATTCTGGTGGCATCGTCCATCCTGGTGATGGCGGAGGAGTTCAAGAGCCTACCCACCTATTTGCAACACGCCTCTTCGATGCTGGTACACAACAAGCAACACCGAACGATCTTCATCTGCAGCGTGATCAGTCTCATGGCTCTGACGTCGATCGTCGGTGTCCTGGCATGCCCCACGCCCATTCTGTATTCTGAACGTCGATTCCGTGAGCCTCTGGAACTTCAGCAACAGCCGTTGGCGAGCCCGACGTTGCAGCCGGAACGGCTGGTAGCACCGACGACCGGCCTGGACCAGTTCATCCTCAAGTTCCTCGAGGCAGCTCTTCGCGACGAGCAGAGGGATGTCACGTCCAAGGAGAACGAAACGTGGATAGATTCGTTCAGCGACGAGGAGGAATGGACGGGGAACGTCGAGAACAAGGGTAGTCTGGCGAAAGGTCGAAGGAGAGAACAGTTCTTCAGGTTTTATAGATACAAGCTACGCGACAGACCCACGCCTCGAAGGCATTACAGAACATTTTCTCGTGACCGTAGGAGCGGAGACGTCCTCTCGAGAAAGATACTCTTCTCCCCGGAAACAGAGCCCCGTTCGGAGCCTATGTACATGCTGTACTACGACAACGAGCTCGTAGCTCAGGATCAAACCACTTGCGTGAGGCCGGAGTACATCGTGTTCACGTGGGTCTTGTGCCTGATCGCGTTGGCCTCCGCGTTGAAGTTGTATTACTTGGTGAAAACAGCGCTGGCCACAATCATCGTCACCGTTTACGCCGTGTTGATCCTGGTGGTCTGTAAAGACTTCTTCTCCATTCCCGACGAAGAGGAGAATGCGTGAGTCCTGTTCTCCTCGTCTTCTTTCGTTCCTCGAGAAGACGCGGAAATTCCGTCTCGAAAACAAACGGTGGTCTTCTCTTTTTCTAGAACGGCGATACCACTTTCAGCACAAATGCTCACGTTCATGCTCGTCTTTCTGGTGATGGTCACGTACCACGGTAGATTGGTGGAGGTAACGTCTCGATTAGACTTCCTTTGGAAACAGCAGGCTGAGAGGGAGCTAAGCGACATGATCGAATCACGGCACAACAATATGCAGTTGTTGAAAAACATTTTACCGGATCACGTAGCTCATCATTTCTTGACCCAGGAGAGAGCGCCAGAGGTGGCCGTCGAAGGCTCGAATCGGTCTCCCCTCGTCGGTCAAAGTACTAACACGATTTTCTTTGTTCATAGGAATTGTATTCTCAATCCCGAGATAAAGTTGGAGTGATGTTCGCCAGTGTGCCGAATTTCACGGAATTCTATTCGGAGGACGTTAACAAAGGGATGGAGTGTATACGTTTATTGAATGAGATCATTGGTAATCGAAATGACACTCAAGAATATTTCATACTCCGAATCAAACATGTATTTTAATCGTTTCATTTTTCAAGCTGACTTCGACGAGCTCCTGGACGAGAATCGGTTCCACTGTATCGAGAAGATAAAAACCGTCGGAGCCACTTACATGGCAGCCTCCGGTCTTAATCCTTGTGAAAATGTAATTGTCGTATACAGTGACAGATTCGTTAGACGATCTTTCCTAATCTTGTTCCTACGTTATTTCTCAGGATAAGAACAAGGACGACATGGAGCATCTCTGTAGACTGGTGGATTACGCGGTGGCGATGCGGCTTCGTCTCGAGGACGTGAACATACATTCGTTCAATAATTTTGATTTGAGAGTGGGCATCAGTTGCGGCCCGTTGGTGGGCGGCGTGATCGGCGCTCGGAAGCCCGTCTTCGACATCTGGGGCAACACGGTGAATCTTGCGTCCCGTATGGACTCCACAGGCGTCATGGGAAAGATCCAAGTGCCGCAGGAGATCGCCAGGGTAATTGTTATAACGTTCGAGTGGAATATGTCGATGTTCAGTCTTCGTGATCGATATTCAATCTTCGCGATCGGAACAGTTCTTGGAATCGAGAGGGTACCAGACTCAGAAGAGGGGGCTCGTCGAGGTGAAGGGCAAGGGAACGATGGAGACGTACTTCGTTCTGGGCAAAGGGTCCATGCAACAGGAGGGCACGACCAAACACACGACAAGATGTAGAAGTCTCGCCGCGGTCGTCTACGGTGTGGTTCAAGCACGTCGCAAACAGATACGAGCGCTTAGAAGGACATAAGCATCGTGATCGCGTCAGTATTTCTTTCTGGTTCTTCGGTGCCTAGTTACGTACAAACGGTTCCATCCTCGACAAACTAGTTGCTAACGCGAGGTAAGACTTAAAATGGACCATTTCGATTTCTACTCTTTCCCCAGACGCAAAAATCGTCGCGTTGGCGAAAGAGATTTTTTATCTTGTCTTTCTCTCCGTTTTTAGTTCCAGGATCATTGTCGACTGGTTGTATTTGATAAATGAACACTAGTTTATGTTCGGTTAAGAGTTTATGAATCTCTCATTTTTATTGTTATATATAGTGTAAATAGAATCGAATACCGTCAGTATTTTTCAGAATGAAACTTATCGTCCCGTGAAGCACAGTTCTATCAATCAGTTATGTGAAATACCTTTGCCTCCTTTAAAATGAGAATTATCATGCAATCCATTTTAAGTAAAACTCACCTAACGTTACAGTTCGAACAGCGACGAGCATTTGTAATTAACATATTACCCAATGCACGGTTTCGTTCTTCGGACAACTGGTTGACACGTTAGTTAACTTATTTCGACAATGATTGCCATTAGATTAACGTAAATGATACTCGTTCAGTGATGGTTAAATTATCATTTGTTATATAAGCTCTATGCTCTCGGTGACGCTGTAAAGATAGAATTTTTACTTTCGTTCGTGTCGTTCTCCTTCTAATTAAGATCCAACGTACTTGTAAATAATGCCCCGATCTATGAAGTAATTACAAAACATTGATAAGAGAACACGTGGAGTAATGTACGATGGAAAGAAATTATATGGTAAAGTTGCTGATAATAAATAATAAGTTAACAAGGAGCGATCGAAGACGATTGATCAAGGTGTATAATTTTCATTTAATTTAACGGATATCAGTGTTTCATATATCACCAGGAATGAAATCATCAAGCAACACTTTTCTTTCCTTTCTTTTTTGAGGAAAAGTCAATTTAATAATAATTGCAGGGCAGCAGCGTTTTCGTGTTGACAATCGTAACGTACAGCACAGTTCGAACAACTCTGTGTAACTGTATATTACATTATTATGGTAAACACAATATATTTTAATTAACCATAATAATAATCCATGATAATAATAATCGTAATGAATAATTATAAGGCTAGCTACAGCGGTGATCTCCTCTGCCGGGTTCGTGGGAGATCGCTCGACTTCAAACTGTACACTTTTACAACGTACTCCTCGTAATAATAATCATCTAATTACATTAATTATATTAATTAGGTAATCATTACAATCTGAACCTAATTAAAAGAATGTTCGCGACACGCAGGAGGGACCGCAGACACCTTTACGTATCGAGAAATCAATGCCACACATCAAGAGATCCTCGTTTCCTTTTACTTTTTAAAAACATCTACGTACGAGTCTGCCACGTGAAAGTAGAGAAGGTAAGTGCGGATTGATTTCTCGAAAGCTAAGGGCTTCTCTTTTGCTCGTTTAAAAAGTTCTTCCTACCCTTTCTCTCTATTCGTTCAAGGTATAAAGGCACTGTACACGTAAACATACAATATATAGAAGAGCGCTATAGGCGGTCCAGATGATACATTTTATTTGTTTCCTCTTTTTAAACAGTAAAACGAGCCCGTTTAAAAATATCGATACCGTCTTCTCTCTTTCCGTTATTTCCTTTTCATTTATCATTACGACGCTACGCACTTAAAATACGGAGCAGTTTCCTTCGATTCTAGCTGCATTGGTCAACGCTATATTCACTTCTCTTTGACGCTGATGTATCTTAAACGTTAAGGAAAAATATAGATGACTATTATAATATATATATATATANGTATATATATATATTTATATATCAGAATGTGCAGAACTCACGGTAACTATGTATTTAGGAGGAAATTAATTGGTCAATGCGATCAGAAGTTAAGAAAACGCTCCGGTTCAAAGGTGGGATCCGTTTATCACAATTTGGCAGTGAACGTTCTCACATATTTCTTTCTTTCATTTTTAAATACAGTTTTACAAGTTTTGCAAGCTACTTGAAATCGTCGTCATCCTCTTTGCTTCGAAAATTCTTTTCTATATTGCTACAGATTTTCCATCGCTTTACAGACGAGTGCGAAAATATTATTTTCTCTCTTCTCTCTTCGCTACGGTCAGTTGCTCAGGAAAAATAAATACTTTTCTTCACGTCTGTTTACATCGGTCGATAATTACATAGAACTTAAATTCTTCCTACGTGAGTTTAGCGAAAATATTTTACGCGTGTTCTTTTCTTCTCATTCACTTTTGTGGATCTCTGATTTATTTCGATACGCGCAGCAATTTCGTTACGCGCGCCAAGAAAGTTCTATGTGGATCAGCGTGTTCGGGGTCATTTCTCTATGGTAATTCTCTAGCGTTTGTGCGCAATACTATATTGCATAACTTTCTAGAAACCGTAAACGTCGCATTTCTCAGTATCAAAATACAAGAATTTTACAAGATCTGCGTACGCGCGGGGCAAACGACCGAGTGTGATCGTTACGAGGATGGTATGCTCATCGTACAAATCTGCTGCTCGTATTTCTGGCTTACAAAAGAGATTAAATATTTACAGTTAATTACATTTTCATTAAACCCTAAGTTAATTACATCTAATTGCTCGAGTTCATTCTAGTTCAAGTTCTCCCTGGCTTCACCTTTCTCTAGCTAAATCGACGACTGATCGATCGATTAAAAGCACATGACACACGGATCGACTGATCAAATTGGAAACACGAGACCGTGTCAACTCCGAACGTACATATAATTACATAATAGACTAGCGAATCTGAACTCTCCAAAGACCAATTCAATTGTAACTAAAACACGAATGGTACCCGAAAGCTTATATTAAACATTTTTACAGCTCCAATAGTTCGTATTTAATTCTCCTAAGAGTATAACGTTTCCGCATCAATCACTGAGCTTCATTTCCATTTTCTAAATGACCCTATAATCTTTCGTTCTCATCTATCAGACAGACGAGACGCTACGACAAATTTTTTTTAATGGTAATACTGTCGATTTTTCAAATTTTACATATCAGACCTTCACGTGATCCTGCACAGTCGCAGCATACTTCTATGAAATGTGCTGAGACAGAAAGAAATTCTCAAGGAAACGATTCTTTTCACGTACCTTTTCACCAATGATTCACAAATTCCTTTACTAATGATCGATCGGAAAGTACTTCATAAGATTATTTCCGGTTTCATCGCGGACATTCCATTTACATACAACATCTGACATGAATTTAATTATCAAGAAAATCAGTTCCAATGCCAAGTTTATCTGTAAATGTAATCTCTCGCTGTACGAAGCACTTTTTAAAAAATCTTAAACTACAAACAAACTCGAATCGTTATTGCTGTGAATCGTTTTTAATGTGATTTCCAAGTGTATTCTTCATTTTTAAATGAAACATGACCATTTTTTGTCGTCTACAAAGTGGAGCGAAGATAGAATTTTTCGAGTCTTCCACTCAAGTATATAATATATATACATATATATAAATATATTAAGTGAAAGTACTCATTTTAGAGTTTTCCTGCCTGAGAAATAAAACCGGTATTTTCGCTCCACTTTATAGGCGCCGAGAATGCACGTGGATTTATGCACGTGTTATAAAAAGTATATTACAGAACTTTGTAAAGAGATTAAAATTACCTGTAACGAGCAATTCTTACCAAATTACGATTCACAGCAAAGCAGATTACAAAGCGGTCCACGCAGTCTTGTAAGATGTGAGGAATTTCAACCGCGGCGTCGTTCGTTGACAAATAGTAAAACTTGGGTTCCAACTTAAATTAAGATAAAATGTTCGCAAACTTCTCGATATTTACCTCGAAATCAATGTTTTAAGATGATATTAATTCGAACAACTATGTGCGTACTAAGGTTTGAAGTCGATCGCTGGTACGTAGGGTAGGACGATGACGTGATGTACAGAATTCAAACAAACAGTACGACGCGCGAACACGAAGTGGCTGCGCGTAGTGTCTGCGCATAATGACCGTTACGAACGAGCCGGCGTTGCCTAGCAACGCATTCGACGGGAAGGTAGGGGAACAGGCGGGGCGTAGAACGAAATGCATGATGGCCACCGATGCGTAAGGGGTCTGCGCAGGAATTCATGATGGCTGCCACGGATTGTTGAAATTTAAAATTAAACCTCTGTCGGCTCTACGATCCTTCGCGGAAGAAAACATGCTGTGGCACGAGAGTCGAGAGTCAGAATCGTGGTAAGAATAGTCAATATCTACGGCGATAACTAACCCAGTCATTAGGTCATCGAGGAACAGTGAGAAAGCAATTCACAATCTGAATTTCACCGTTCCTGGATGCACGGCGCTGCGATCGAGATTCCTCAAATTTTACACTATAAGGTGAGCGGAGAAGTCGTTCTCAGTTCGAATCTGTTGAGCCGTCCCGTTTCGATTCGTTCGCGTCGCATAATTCTACTAATCCTTTACATTAAATATATTTATACATAATTTATTAACCGTTAGTCGAAGTCGTCAAGTCAGTTCGAAATATTGGCGAAAACTCGTCGGTTAAGCCAATATTATATGCGTTGAGATCATTTTGAGAGTGCATGGATTAAAATACTTTTGGACACGAGTTTGCTCGAACCCGTCGTTTTACGTTCGCGTTCTAAATGATCATGAAATTCGCGGACTAAACCGGAAAACTAGCGTTACATACGGTCATTGCTCTATAAGGATGTAGAAATATATATATATATATGTATATATATATAATATACTGTGTACATATACGTGCTTATACGTAACATATTGCAATCGAATGGCGAAACGTTTTTTTCGCAAATCGTTCGCGCGCGTACAAAAGAAATGCAGTTGTTCGTTCGTTAAACTAACATCGATGGGACTAGCATTTCCTAGGATTTTCAAAAATACGTCGTTCTTCGATGACTCTATTTACCGGTACGTATCTATCGTTTCTCTCATATTTTTCTTTTTTTGTCTGTTTGCTTTTTCCCATTTTCTCCCGCTTGCGCTCCCTCCCTCTCACACGTTTGTGAAAATACATTTTCTTCCTTTCGGCGGAACGAGAATCGTCCTAATTTATACACTTTTGTGGTAAGTAAGTAAGTAAAATTCTTTTCTGGCACGTACAACAACCGGCATTGTTAATAAACGCCAACGCGAATTGACGAGACTGAGTTTAAATCGAAGGTACATTTCTTACGTTATCCACTGTCTAACCTCTGTTTGTATCGTCAGCGTTTCCCAATTTTTCATCTACCGCCGTCAGATTCATTTAAATAACATCTTATTTGTCGAGTAAATTGTATAAATCATCGTGTCGCGTGATTAAAAATAAATTCAACTATGGTTAATAAATATCTTTTGCTTCGCCATTCTACGAATTGTTAACGAATAGTTAAACGCACGATTGCGATCTCGTAGCCTCAGATATAAATGCGTTCCCCGTCCGTACCAAGAAAAAGATCACAATATTCGAAATTGAGAAACGCCGTTCCACAAGCTGTTCATAGCTCACTTTCCATTTCAGACAAGTAAATCGTTATTCTTTTACTAATTACTACTACGAATTGTTTACTGTACAAATATTTTAGAGCCGCGATAATAATTCAATTACCCGAAACAAGATATCTGTCGCGGATGCCTCTTCCATTGCTTCCGCGAATGAATTTATAAAAAAGCCCGATAATAATATTCTCGGCAAATTACTACGCGAGAACATTGAACCGTAATTGGCAGTAGAACACTCGAAACTTAGCCAATTTCATAAAAATCAATAACCGTTAATCCATTTGTATACAAAATGTACAAGTATGTTTTGAGCAGCTTTGCAATTACTTTACAATCGTATCTTAATCCGTAACAATAATTAACGACAGCTAAATCCCTCATCGCTTTGGACTAAGCGTAATCCTTCAACGTACGTATTCACAATTGGCAGTGAACATATGATTTACACGGAAATTAGAATTTTCCTTTTGCCGATTCAATCGCGAATAAAATAAAATACGATAAAAAAAAAGAAGAATTTGTCGCCCGCTAAACGCACAATATTAAATGCACGTTTTTCTGTAATGCGAAAGACCCGATAAGAAACGCGGATGCGATCAAAGGCGATTGCCAGATGATGTGATTTATATGTAAAACGCAGTCTTCTTTCGTTTACTAAGCTTCAATTTTCTATACCCGAGAGCTAAGTCAATCGCTTGCAGATTTCATATCGGTTCGATAGGAAATTCCTTCGTTTGGTATCGTTGAAACGGTGCTGACCGATCGTCGAGAGATAGTTAAAATTTTCAACCGCTTCAACAAACATTGTGCGTACCTTAAAATGATCGTTGTCAGAGATGTCTCAAAGATCGTTGAACGTACGAAAATTTCACCAGGTTCTTTTCTTCCGTCGATAGCTCTCAGGTACATACTTGAACAATGGTTAGAGGAAAGAGTTCCATGTCGAACACAGAAATTGGACTGTCGGAGTCACTGCAGGGTGCCCAAGAAGTCCAAATATCTGTGTTGCATGTATTCTCAGGAGGACTGGCTAGACTGAATCGATGAGGGAGTTGCTAACGAGCTGTGCAAAGTAAATCCGTCGTAAACGTCCATCAGATCGCGCATTCTGTACTCTTCAAGGCAAACGAAGCCTTCCAATGACGGAGATTGCTTTCTCGCGCAGTCCATACAGTGCACCACGTGTCGTTTCTCTTGTTCCCTGATGAACAAGATATTGAACACCTCGATCTGAAACGAGATTCGAGTGCCCAATTCTAATACCTGCCAAACATGATCTAGACAAGTATATTTTACGAACTATCTCACCTCACACTGGCCGCAGTAATGCGAAGCCTCGTTCTTCCCTCGTCCGTGAAATCGAACTTCGACACCCTTGTTCTTTACAAACTCTAATATTAAGCAGCACTGTCTCATTGTCCTCAGCAGGCAGTTTTTAATCAGTTCGAACAGTCTCGGATCCGACACTTTTATATTCCTTGCCAAGTTCCACGATAAGTGTACCATCGGTACTATCGATTTGAACGATTGCAGTTTGTTCCATTCGTAACGTTCGATCGCCAATTGATACTGACGCGCGGTCAAAGGACCCACGTTCCATGCGATATTGTTACACCATCCGACGGCTTGAACCCAGTGCACACAGCCTAAGGGGAACGACCGTAAATCTACGTGTAAATATCGACGGAACAAAGATAACTAAGAATATTAGCAATAGGTTCTTGTCGCTTCCGTTTCAAATTAAGTATTAAAGCGCGATGGCGTTTGTAATTTCTCGTAATGTGCTTACCCGCATTGACCCAGACGAGATCACCTGGCCTTTGCAGAAACCTGTACACAGGAATGTTCTCCTCGTACAGATCCTCTAATGAAGGCCACCAACTGCCGTGAAGATAATTGATATTGTTCCGCTCGCACAGCGAACAAATTACACCCCAGTATGCATCGGGCACCGCGAACCACTCGCAATCCCCGGGTCCAATATTGATATTAATAGAACAAAAATTGTTGTTTTCCTGGTGACCGGGTGTTCTACTACCGGGCACCTGCAACGGCATATAAAAATATCTCATTAGCACGTGTTTCTCACGTACAATTGCAAGTTCAGAGCAATTTGTTGAAGTTCGAACTGTTGTAAATGATATAGATACCTTCATGTACAATTGAACAGTGTTCATGCCTAAGATAACGTGGCCGACGTGACTGAGCATATTCCCAGCAGATACGACCCTTGCGAACGCCGGTAACTTCATTAGTTCTTGAAGCTGAGGTTTCCATTTCCTCTCGTCGGATAAATCTACATTGGTCCCAAATCGTAACATCTTCGTACCAGGTCGACCTGCCAATCCGAAGGCGTTCTTCTTCCTCCTGACGACACCCGTGCTGTCCTTCGAGTCCGAGTCGGATAAATTCGAAGGGTGTATGCCCTGAGCCTTTTCCCTTTCCTCTTTCAAACTCTCTTGAAAGCTGGAGGCCTGGTATTGCGCGTATTTCGCGATAGTCGTGTGACTCCTATGGCTGATGCAGCCCCAGACTTTCCTCCCCATCACGGGGTCCCAGTTTTCGTCGCTAGTTTGCTGCATCTGCGTCCTCACCTCGATACCGTGATCCGGATTCGCTTCTACCAACGTTTTCGTCGAGAACAGACCGAGGTCCAACTTCAAAGCGGCTGCCAGGCCACGGATAACGGCTATCGGGTGTTTCAGACAAAACTCTTGGAGCTGAGGACTGAACGCGTCCTTCTTATTTTCTAAATACACGCTAGGGGTCGGTGGCAGGAGTTGTTCCTTGGTCAGTCTCTGGGTCGGAGGATCCGGGGGAGCGGGCGGCGGCGAACGATCGCTCAGTATCGAACAGTTCGGTACACCCTTCAGACCCCGGCCCCTGCACGCTTCTATGATCGCCTTCGAGTCCATATCTATGCTAAGTTCCTGCTCCGGTTGCGAATCGCACAAGCTCTCTAGTTTCAGCACCGGTTCGACCCTGGCGACCGGCTCGATCTTATTTGTACTCGACGTTGCCTCGCACTTCACCGTCTCGACCGTCGACGGCTTCGCGTTACTCTTCTCGTACGTCTCGAGCTTCGACGACGTGGACGACGGTCGGCTGTCTTCCGCCTTCTCCAATTTCACCTCCTTGATCTTCTCGGTGCTATCTTCCAGATTCGACGGCGAGAACGGACCCGAGCTCAGAGTACCGTTATTCATGATACTCGGTGCCTCCTCTTTCACGTCCAAGTCTTCCGAGCCGAAGTGCTTCAACAGATCCTCTGCTAACGACGTCGCAATATCCTTCTGCGACAACAGGGCTTGTAACTCTTGATCCGTGACCCCCAGGTCCTTATTCCCCGCGGAACCTTCCGGGTAATTGCTCGTCGTCGACGATATCTGAGTGTAACCCTGGGCAGTGTACTGATTCGGCTGGTACTGGTTGTACTGGCCGGACGACAGTTGCCTCTGAGGATAGCTCGGATCGGAGGCCGACTTGTAAGGCATACCCGGTGGCGTTTGGCTATTCCCAGTCGCCGCCGTGTTGTAACCGACGTTCGAGTCCGAAAATCCGGTCTGCAATGCAACGGTTCCACCTTGCTGTAGCTGTAATAAAAATTAATATTATCATGTACGCGTTTCAATCAAAATGTATCGTCTAAAAATACTATACCGGCTGCTGAGGTATTCCATAGTTCTTGATTATACCAGGTTGTCCCAATTGCGCGTGACCGTAGCCCGTAGGGTAACCAGGTTGCCCGGGCCTCAGCCCTCTCTGAGCAGCTTGCTGTTGTTGCAATCTAATTTGCTGTTGGTGTTGCTGCATCAATCTGTATTGTTGTTGCAACTGAGCAAGCAGACCTTGCTGTTGCGGCGCTAAACTGCCGTGATTCTGTTGGAGGAACTGTAGCATTTGCAGCTGCTGAGGCGTGAGATAGAACAGAGGCGGTCGTTGTTGCGTACCCGGGGATATAGGTTCCTCTCCCGGCTGCAAACGTACATTCAGATCAAAACGAATTACACTGTCAATTATCTATTGTAAGAACGTAAGTTTTTCGAGAACGAGGAACTCACTTTAAATCGCTTCGTGTTCAGATTCTGCGTTTGTCCTTGGGGGTAAGGCGGCGGAGGACCAGAGGGAGTACTACCGTACTTGTAACCCGGACCACTCGATGGCTGCTGCTGCTGTTGTTGCCTGCTGGACATCTCAGCGCTGATGGGTAAGTTCCAAGCCTCTTCTATAGACGGCAATTGCCGCCTCCTTGTCGAAAACAAAAACGTGAAGGTCGTTTATCGGCGTTTCAACGGTATCGAGCGCAAACGAACTTACTTTGTGGCGACGGAAGGCATTGGTGCTTGGCTTAAATGGCTCTGTAGAAAGTTAATGCGCTGTTGAAGCGATGGGTTCATCGGGGTGTTACCACCGGACTTGGCACCACCAAGGCCCGCCAATGATCCCGTGCAGTTCGGTGTATTATTATTACCCCTGCGAAAAAATATGTGTTTGTGTTATTACCTTGCGTCAAGACTATTGTGGACAGGTGAACTTTAAGTCGCGCTTTTTTTCGACTTGAACGTTGACCTGTCCTTAACTTACTTATTTCGCGTGTATCATCTATGAGGCGCCAAAAGCGACGGATCGCTTGTTACGCAGTGGAAAACTATGTAAAAGGTACAATGAGCACATGTGTAAGTATACAGAGTGAATAACGATGAATAGTGACTTCCGAAAATATAAAACTGAGGAATGGTAAACTTAACATAGATTGCCGCAGATACATTTTAATTTATCATTTCTACTTGCTTTTATGATAATTTTGGTGCAACCGTGTCGTGACGTTCGGTTATAACTTAAGATAAGGATCGATGACAGTAGTGATCTTCCATTTTATTTCAACCATGAGAGTATACATCGATGATACAAAGAAAGAAGAAGTAGATAAGTGACAATGTATACTACGATGAACAAGGGTACGGGAGCTCTGAAAATGCTGTTACATGAAGCATCGGTACGAATCTTCAAATTCTACGTTACATTACATGATACATTCTCAAAATACCATCGATAGGCGTTACGCGTTCAGTATATCTACCGGATATTCCGGTGACAAAGGATTGCGATCATTTACTTTACCTGGATGCGTTGACGTAACAAGCTAGCGCGTCTTTCGGCTGACTAACGCTTTCGTATAAAATGCCCAGATTAGTCCACGCTGCCGAATGCGATTTGTCTAACTGTACCGCGCATATATACGCCTGTAATGCGTCCATAGGCTGATTCTGCTGTTGATAAAGGACGCCTATGCTGCACCACGTGTCAGCATTCCCTTCGGATTTTTCCACCGAATTTCTGAAACCAACGTACAAAACTGTGAGCACGCGATTCGAACAGACTGAGTTAACTGGACATCGACGTAGCCGGATTTCTAATTCTCGAACATCTAATTGACCGCGTCAGCGAGATAAATTTGCAACGCGCGACAGAGGGATTTTTAACTCGACAAACCGGAATATACTTTTAAGAATGCAAGCGGAAAGGAGAATGCTTTCGATGCGTTCGAACAAACTTAAACGTTGCAAAACGGAGAGAGGACTTAGTCGTCCCACCGGCAGTTAAGAGGCTTAAGGAAGTATCCGGTTGATGTATCGGTCGCAATAATTTCAAGATTAACTCGCGCGTCGCGTTTTACGGACACAACGTCTGTACGTCTGTGTACCTGTAAGCAATAAACGCATCATGAACTTTTCCAGAAGCGGCGAGGCAACGTCCGAGCAGATAAAGGCTTTGCCCGCTCTTTGGTTCCGCTTCGATGGACTTTTGCAGACAGTGGATGGCGATTACTTGTTTCTGCTGTCTCGTTATACCAAGCACCGAGCAGTCAACCACGTGATACATCCATCCTGCAACGACAAATTGACGGTCGAAAGTTAAAATAAAGTAAAAATCGTGCGGAAGATAGAGAAAACAGGTTGCTCAGACGTATTGCTCATTTCTCAAAGATCTTGTCTCAGGGGCGACTTGTACAAGAATTATTCAGGCGTATATTGGACATCCATGTCGTAATGAGAACGTTCTGCCTTTTTAATCGACAAAGAAAAAACTGATTTCAAAATGTGTACGATCATCGATTCACGGTGTGTACGTGACCACATCCTCGTCTCCCGGATTTAATCCTTGTACGTACTAGGAACGAGCTTTGCTTCCTAGGCCTTCCCAGCCTCGACGCCCTATATCGGGCGAATGCACGAAAATCAAACACAGGATGATCCACGGAACTTGGAACGCAGACGGGCTCATTACTTTAAAGGAGCATGAACAGAACGACGCGAAATCAAAATTGTAAACGCATAGGGAGGACCGTGAACTAATACCAAGTTCAAGGGCCAACGTGGCCTAGAGTTTGCTGTGAACGTTGCGTTGTTGCCTCGACGCTAGACGAGTACCGGACTGAATAGATTTTCGCAGGTATAGCCTAGGGTAGCCACTTTTACCCCACTCTCCCTTCGAGGCGGACTCGAATTACAACCCTCTTTGAATATAGGCGTAGACCTTCGCACAGCCAGCATCTTCTAAAAAAATAGTTCCGGATCTTTTCAGAATCTGTAGAATTCACGGGATAGATCGTCGAGTGACGTATATTACTTTCGAATTTAAACTAGCTATCGTAATTCGTTGAACTTGCACGGTGTTGAATATTATTCTAACGCGACGAGCGGGACCTGAACAGGCACACGGTATGCGCGAAGCTTGATGCTAGGTAGCTGCCTCTCGTAACGGTACACCTTTATTTTCCTGTTCTTGCGTTCATTATTATCATGCAGCGCCTAGACCTGCTTCAGCTAGGACGATGGAGCTCGCCCAGAGGTCTGTGCACTCTTCCGAGCTTGCATTATACTAATTTTATGCACGACGACACTTTCATCTCTGCACCCTCTTCTATCGCCTTCCATACTCTTCGTTCGGCTTCCACGAATATATTTTTTTCATTGTTCGAAACTATTCTACTCTCTCATTTTTGCAACTGTTCCACGCGATCGTGATCATAGTAATTTTCGTGCCGCCGTACACCGTGTATTTATACTATACCCCGTAAATTAAATACGTGCCGTGGGAAAACAACAGTTTCGCAACAAGTTGTTACACAATCGTAGAACGCGATGCTAAACGCGAATACACGCCGATTTTAAATGGGATTAAGTCGGCGGGCTCATAAACCACCCGGCGAGATTAAACCGTCTACAATGCACTAATTGTACGTAGCCCCTTTCATTCATCCGACTCTTACGTTTTCCACGCGTCCAATAATAGACACGCAGTTCTACCCTCCATCTTCGGGTTTGTTTTTTTTCCTTTGGGGTACAATATTTTCATCCAGTCTATGTTCGGGAAAAGGCGACGAGAATTATAGACGACACTAATAGCTACAAAAACTCGATTGTGTCCGAGGACTTTCTCTTTGCCTGAAGAGGAGTACCCATCCGAAATTGCCTCACGCTTTATGGAACGTGCAAAATCGCTGGACCCAAAGTAAACAGTCGTAAACCAGTCACCGGGCGATAGTTTACGAATTCGTACGGTCATTTGCAACGATTTGACGATCCTCAGACACGAAAGTTTGCACGCGTTCAAGGAAACCGGCGGGAACATTCGCGTTCCGCTTCCATCCCCGTCGATCATCCCTTCGCATGTTCGCGGAGCGGTGCATGCGAGAGGTTGACTCTCGCAGAGACGAGGAAGTGTCAGTTACGAAGCTAAACGAGGGGAAAAGAATCGCGGGAGAGCAAAACGGATAAAAGGAAGTAATCGCATCGAACCGGTCCTGCGCCTTGACACGCGATAACCCGTAAACAGGTTGTAAAAGATTCCTGTGTCCGTTCGGAAACCGTAAAAACCAACAAACAGTCGAAGGGACGAGCGAAACTTTCGGGACAATTACGTAAGTCCGGTTCTTCGTCTCCGGCGACGGGCGTGTTTGCTTCGAGTTTAATCTCGTAGTTCATAAAGTACAAAGAAACTTAGTGTAAGTACTCGGACTCTCCTCTCGTCTCGTACAATTAAATACAAATGAATTTTCATTTCATCTTTTCGAAGAATTCATGATCGACATATTTAACTCGTAGTGAGGAACGACGTTGATCTGTACCGTCTGCTGTCGATCTAAAGCCAGGAACTCGTGTTTGAAATACGGCTCCTAAATCCAAATCTCTTTCCTACGACTATGATAATCGGGAGAACACGGAAGAGAAGAAAAACAGAATGAAATATTCAATGTGTCGAATGCATAAAACAGGCCGAATGCCCTCGAGGCAGGCTGTCCGCTGCGGTAGGGCAGAGGGTGCCGCCTATACGTGAAACGTGTGTTGCGAGCGTACTCGACTCCCGTTTAATGAGGCAGCGCGCGGTACGTGACACACTACGGGCAGGTAGAAGCCGAAAGATTATACAGGTCAAGCTGCACGTCGTGCTGACCCAGTTGCGCCTTGCAAATCCCTCGGCAAACGCGAAGCGCAGCTGGGGCTCAATAGAAAACACCTCAAAGAGAATCCTCGGTAGGCAAACGCGTCTCACTTTTACTTTCACCGCCGGATGACCATCGCGTCATTTACATTTCTCAATTATTCTCTTCGTACGGGGGAATGCTGTTAGTCCGATTAGACGGCGCGGCAGATACCGATTGGACAGAATCTATGAAATGGAATTGGAAAAAAAGAGATCGACGTTCTCCAAGTTTCTACTGTCGGTCTCTTCGATCCGGTTTACTTGTCGGCCGGGAGACTAGCTCGAGCTCAAGGAAATGTTCGTGGCTCGTAAGAAGATTCCCTGGCCGAAACTCGGCCGCAAAAAGAGGGCTGAACTCGATCGTGCCGCGATGAGGCTCAAGTTTCGTTGTATCGAGCATCGCGGAAATCGCGTTTCTCCGGCCGAACCATGTTCCGGTGGCTCGGTAATTTAAATACCTCGCAGAAAGCTTCGACCCGGCGATCCTCCTTCCTCTTCTTCCCGCCGACCCGTTCGTCTCTTTGAGAGACGGAAGAAACGGGAACCCGGAAACCCGGACGATGCGCAAAATTTCAAGAATTTCAGACGTACTCCTCGCTTTCTCCCTGCCCGATGACTCACGTGGGAATTCGAGGTTTACGCCGCGACACGGTGGTGCGGTTCTCGTACCTTTACAACTCGGATCCGTCGGCGAAAACGCGATACGACTTTTTTGTGCAGGAAATAACAGTACCTACAACTTTCATTTGAAGTATTTTTCCGAGATTTTACTAAGAGGTAACTATGTTCTGAATCTACCCAAGTTCTACTTTGTATCGTTGAGTTTGATCGCGAAACATAAACTGGAGACGGTAGAAGTATGAAACGAAACGGAGGAACGGCGACATCGAAAGAAAATTAGCTCCGAAAAGAGGCAAACCCTGCTGCTAACCGAGCCCGACAAAGAAAGGGGTGAGATCCGCGGGATAAAATGAAACGGAGAGAAAGATAAACGGAGGAAGGACGATGGGGTAGAAAGTTTCCCACAATCTCTCGCCTCCTTATCGAATTCGGTTTCTCCTCTCTCTCTCTCTCTCTCTCTCTCTCGTCCTTTTCTCGCTTCTCTGTCGCTCGAATAACGCACCCTCCCCTCCGTTTCCCCTGTTGCCGGTTGCCGGCGTTCGCCACCCCATCTCATCGCCAGGTCACCCCAACCCGGAATAAATCAATACACGTGTCTGCTACTTGCTCGTACACCCGGCTCACGGGCCTTAAGCCAAATTCTCGCCGAGGAGGGAAACAATTCGCGGGGTCATGACTCGATACGCCCGGCTTAACGTGTTCTACACCGTCATCGGGGAATTAAAGAGTTTCGCGTGTAAAAGAATTGATCAACTAAAACAAGGTCAAAGACGAAAGCACGAAGCTCGAGTCACCGATTCTTCTTTATTTTATCGTACCACCACTGTTAAAGAAGACTCACCTAATTGGCGGCAAATGTCGGCCTTCAGATGCGAGGGCAGATTCTTTTCCTTGAGCAACGCCTCGTAGTGCTCCTTGGCCAGACGATACTTCCCCTGGACTTCGTGTAAATGGGCTATGTGAAATTTTACTGCAACAGACCAAAGGAATTTATGTTTTAGTAATCAGGAATTGTGACACGCGTACAGTAATACAAAATTCCAGCGTCGAAGAGGAACTGAAAGTATAATTACACGCGCTAATGTTCAGTCGCGTGAATCGCAGTGTTTATACGCTGTTCAAACATTAAAAGTGATCACCTCGCTGATTATAATATCCATTTTTTAATTACGATCGTAAACAGTTTGTACGTGTTCTGTCGTAACACTTGTTTCTGATAAGCGTCAGACTGACTGACCCGAACGCTACTGAATCCAGCTTTCAGCTCTCAAACTATTTTATAAGTTCAACTTCCGCCGATTCCTGGTAAACAGAAACGATGCCTGCACGATCCGGGAATCGAGGGAGATCGATGAATCAGAATCATCAATGATTCAGTTGCGGTGCGCATAATTCCAGATCCCCAATCATCGTTTCGAGAAGAATTAAGTAAAAAGGATAACGTGCGATTCGTTTAATCAACAGCTGCTTTCAAATTCCATTGGACACGCGCGATTCAATCTTTTTAAGGACGTTAGTCCCAAAATCCATTTTCTACAGAATGTTTTGAAATTTTGCATGAGTATTCAATAGAGCATCACAAATATATGTGTAAAATCTTAGAGAGATCTGACGATTGGGAGAGTAGCAATAAATTATCGAATTCGGAACTTTACCATGTGAAAACGAGAAAAGGCCGGTAAAATGATGGATTTCAGCAATTTAAGGAAAAACGGTTCTACAGATATTTTCAAAAAACTGACACATGCTAAATTAACTTATTACAATTGTATTAAAAAAAAAATCAGAAAATTTTGATGATTCGTTTAGTAGAAATACTGAGATGAAGTACGGTATTTTTGTACAACGCGTTCTTGAGAACGGCGAGGGAGGGGATAGTGTAGCCAATAGCGGCAACGGCTCTTCTGTGTAAGCTTGTGTAAGTGCGTATGTATACGCTGTGCGATGTATTAGAGGGCCAAAGGTTCTCAACCATTTGTTTCTATTTAATATGTGTACCACTACGTGGCACCACTTGAAATGGTTGAGACCAACTGAGCGGGACTAACGTCCTTAAGCACCGGTCTCGCGGCAGAGAACCGAGCGAGCTTTTTCATTTCGTAATATCCTGCCTCGCGCCTGCGACTATTTTTATTCCGCGTTAAACTTAGACCGTGAAATGGTACGACAGATCGGATCCGTCTTCCGGGTGACTCATACGCGGTTCTTGGTAATCCAAGGTGACGTAGATAAAGCTGTACGCGAGACGAGATGAAATTCCGCCGCGGATTCCCCATTATTACTCAACGTTTAATGTTCTGTTCCACTTATCCACAGAATGCTACTCGGAATCATGCGTTATACATCGCGTCTATGTTTTCAACCGGCGTGTTCACACGATTCATGAATCACGGTTTATAATTTCTACCTTCGTATAACGTCGGCCAAAATCCTTTTTCTTTGCGCCGTTAGATTTATCATACGTCGAGCGATCATTAAATTTAACAGACTGACCGAGTGTGAGGATTCATCGTTGCATTTATATGCATCGTTCGGGCAGTTTAGAAACGCGCAGCGATTGAAGCTGGGCTCCGGGAAAATCGTTAAGGCTGCACGTAATGCACCCTTGAACAATATGTACTAACTCCGTCGTGATAGACGTTATCGCGAGTCACACGTGACACACAAATTGCCGTATCACGTTAGGAAACGGGGTCAAGTTTGCGGAGTAAACCGTGCAAAATATCAAGACGTTCGCTGTACTTGTACGTAAGAACAAGGCTTTTTTCCCGACTTTCACACTTTGAACCCGATTCCATCGCATTCGTTGTACGTAACATCGCCTGCAACGTGATGACCGAGTTGAAATGATACATTAAAACGTTGAATGCGGAATGAATCCGAATGCGTTCTCTCACGTTCACTTTTCATGGAATTTTTTCATTTCCCTTTGTTTCGATGTTCCGCCGGCGGCTGAAACAGTTCGCACTGATCCATATAATATTGGAGTATGCATAAAATCTGTACGAATTGAAAATTGTACGATATATTAATAACTTTTTTTAACGAGATCTCGCGACCTTTCGTACTCTGATTGAGGGTGTGCTCCTTTGAGGAGACAAAACGGAGGAAAATTGATACGGGAATGTTCTCTGACGAGACGTTTTTAACGTCCAAGTTTCGACAGAGGTTGGCTCGTAGAACCCAATATCCCGAGAGACGAGGAGAGCCTGAGTCTCTTAATTCTTAAGCCGACGCGGAGCTCGACCCTGTGTAACGAGGCGTCCATGAAAAAACGAGAGTTCAAAGTGAAAGTTCCCGCATATTTTAACTAAAACCCCTTCTATCGAGGTGGTGATACATTGAAAACGAGTACGAGTTTCTAGCGACTGAATCAAAGGATTTCTCGTTCGAAAACTTTGCCTCGGTCGTAAGTGATTCGCGATTCAAATGACACAGAAAATGTACTGCGTTATGTATTATCTCATTTTACTTGTACACGTTTCGCGTGAGTAAATGGTCAGACCACCTCTGAGGGGAGCGTCGATATAATTTCGGGGAGTATCGCGGATAACTTATGAGAATCTTCGTAGCCCGAAGGACGGAAAGAAAGTCGGCCACGCGAGGAAGCAACATGTGGCACGGGAGTAAGATTTCATGAGTAAAAATGCATGGTTTTACGTCGGGCCGGCAGCTGGCCGCCGTGCGTTATGTTTCACGAGTACAACGCGCGTAGGCGAAAACGCGAGGACGGACATGCGAATACTCACTTTCGAGCTTGGAGAACGAGGCAGGTGTCGTGGCATCGATCAGAGCGAGTGTCAGGTGCTTCAAGGCGGCGTCAAAGTCAGCGTGGACCTTCAGCATTAAGCCGAGCCGTAAATGAACCTCGCAGGCTCGTGGAAATCCTGGTTCCACCCATAGCACCTGCTGGAACGCTTTCACGGCCCTGGAACAAGTCAAAGTTACGCTCCCGTTAGTTCATCAAGTGTTTCAAGGACTGGATCGTTTGATCGTGAAACCCGTTTAGAAAAAGTCTAACGAATCGAAACAAGCGATAAAAAGAGTTCATGAAACACCGTCGGCGTACGCTCGTGATTACGAAGTAACGAGCAACGAACCGAGCAATGCGCGTTAAATATTTGTCAGCGTTCGTTCGGGGAGTTTCTTCGGGGTCGTTGAACGACCGTCGATCCTCGGATAATCACCGTTCGACCGTTAGTCACGATACCGAGGACGCGCGTCACGCGAGATAAGGACGCCTGAATTTTTTCCAATTTAATCGGCTCGTCCATCGCGTCTGCCCTCCGATGGGGCAAATGTCTTCGACGTTCTTGCGTTCTGAATGCGACGGAGCACCGTTTATCAATGCTCTCGATCCGAAGAATTCTGATTCTGTTCGAAAGCCCTTCGATCGTTCTGGGCCTACGTACGCCGCGTGTCGTTGACGAAAATCGGGGTTCGTTAAAAATTCACGGCTAAAGACGCAGGTTCACGCGATGGGTCGCGTAATTGCATGCACGCGATATTGTACGCGTACAGAAGGATGGACAGGAAACGGTCGGGTGTTTCTGGCTCGTCACGCGAGCAGCCGCCGGGCCTGGAAGAGAGGAGGGACGGGCAACGAAAACCATACGGGATAACTGGCGGACGGACAACGATAACGATTGTGCAGTCGCGAATGACACGGTGCGCGTATGTGCGCGTGCGATCGCCCAGGAGGCCGTGCGTTAAACGAAACCGGCCCGATTCGACGCCACGGGACGAACCCGGAAATCAATGCTTCCTGACGACGAGGGTCGCAGGCAATACTTAAGAGTCTCGTCAGTTGGATGGGCGGCTCCTTAAAATGACCTCGATGCAATTTTTGACGTACTGTTTCGATCGAATCAATCCTATTTCCTCTATTGAATCGGTGTTATCATTTCTTAGTGCGTATTTAATCTTCTAACGATCAATCGACTTGACGAATGGTAAGGGACTAAGTTCTGAAGACGAGCAAAGGAAGCAAGCTTCCGGATTCAGCTAAGTGAAGACGATAAGAGTGCCAGCTGATGTAGCACATTGAGAAAGCAAAGCTAAAACTGAACATTGGACAGTTGATTCACGTCGTCAAAGACAGGACTTTATTTTAACATAGAATGTCAAGAAAATTGCATCTATTTCTCTCGAACAACCAATCACGCTTCAAATTAAAAATGTACGATCGGCTTTAACGAGCCGTTTGGCAAGCGCGATTCCCATGTGCGGACGTCATTTTATTTCGGGTTTCGGAGTCGCTGGACGGAAGCCAGGATTCGAGTGGCTCGCTTGCAGGGATCGAGCGATACCAGACTCGTTCGAAGAGTCTGTCTCCGCGCGAGACGGACTCCTGTACATATCGAATGCGGGTGGAAACACCGCGTTTTCCTAACCGGGGTCTCGCCTCGCACTTTCCCAGACCGCGACGGGAAACCGACAGCGTAACAGGTTGCGGTGACGTTCCGTAACCTCGTGCAATGCCACTCGCACGACTTCCGACCAGGATTACCCGACCTAACGAAATCCGAACTTTATCGAATCGAATCGACAGCGTCAAGAAATTCGTGCGTCCATTGGCTCAGACGTGGAACAAATTGGACCACCGCGAGTTCTGTTCCTCCAGTCTTTAATTTGTAAGGAGCTCGTTGTCGACGGAATGTTGGTTAGAAAACAAGAATTATCGCATTAGCAGGAACGTCTTCAGTGAAGCAGAGACACGGCATTGTCTCGATCGAGTAGCAAGAGGAGGGCGGAAGTAACGAGAACGTTAATTTCGCGACGAGCTCGACGACAAATTAATTGAAGCTCGGGCCGGCTTACAATGAGGAGAAGTGGGACGAGCGAGATGAAAAATAAGAGGAACAAGAAAAAAGATGAAGGAGGGGGAGGTGGAGAAGGCGAAAGAGATCGTCGGTCGCCACGGCGTAAAGGCGGTAGTAAATTCATTCACGAGAACGGACCGTTCATCGCTTCATTCAACTCCGCGTTTCCTTTCGGGGTTCGTCGTCTTCGGGAATGAGTCACTGTTACACGCGGCCTCGTGTGGGAGAGCCAGAAATGTCACTGACTCCGCAATTGCGAAATGTTCGCGAGATCGTGCCACACGACCGTGCGTAAGTTCGTTACCGATAAGTGCTCTCGCCACTGTATTTAATTAACGCGCAGGGAGATCGTTTCGACGGTCAATTGGATTTATGGGCGACGATCCGAACCAAGAGAATTCAACGATACGTTTAACAATTTTTATGAGGGTTCGAGCCGTGAAATCTCTGTCAGGAGAAACGTGTTAAAAAGCTACGTCCAATATTTGAACCGATGACAGGCGGTCTGTCGGATTTTGGAACACGGCATACATTTGGTACACCGCGATACGTTTCCACGTGCCATGTTTGCCTCCGGCTTTCTCGCGTCAAACCGTGGAAGGGTATAAGGGTCTAAATCGACGGAAAATCGCCACTCGCAACGTGGAGGGCCGAATGGATCTGCGACTGACCTATCTCGAACATGACGAGACCGAAAACGAAATCCGATATACTGATTCTGACGGCTGATGTCGCTCGTTCGTTCCCGCTGCCATTGACCTGGGGTATTTATAGGTTTTGAAACATCGATTTACAGGCGATTAGTTACATACGCACCGTGTACACACACACACACGTACGTTTGATGTTCATCGTACGATGTCGAATCTGATTGTAAAATGTACGGGGTAAGCGACGAGTGTAACACTTGTCCCATTGCCGATTTAGGAACACGAAAGTCGCTTCGACACTTCATAGAAATTGACCGTGAAATCGTTATCAAAGTCATGAGAGTCCAAAGGGATTAAAAATATTTCTTATCGATCGACGAGTGTTTTAATACCGAGAATTTTAAACAGAGAAACGTAGGCGCGTTATCAAGCGATAACGAGCGGTCTAACGCTTACACCGAACGTTAGAATTAGAAAACTTGACCAACTAATGGGACAAAAGTTACTACGAGGGTTGTTCGTTACTTTAATCAGTTTCTTCTGACCATGCCGAGAGATTATTGCACGGTCGGGTTCGATTCGACTCGGTTCGTCTCAGACGAAAGTTTTATCGTCGCGATTCATGATTCCAAACTCAAATCCGCGAACACGTCAATTAAAAAGCACCGTCTCGACCCATTTGGAGCCCGTCCGATCTACTCTGATGGCGCGAAACGTCGGGAAGGCGGCCGGCCACTTTCGACCGGCGAACCCAAAGCGCTGAAACGGAATCTAAATGAAGCCATTAAAGCCGTGACGAGGTTCTTGCTCGATATCGTACTCGAGGATCGCGAATACCGTCTCCTCTCTCTCTCTCTCGGTTATTGTATACGCGTCGCGTGGTCGTTGCATTTCGGATTTCCTGCTCCCGGCAAGGTTCGTGCGCTGAACGCGTGCAAAAGCGTGGCCAGCCGTTTCTCCGCGTGTCGCGTTCGTCGTCCTGCAAGGGTGCATTTTAATGCACCCTCCGCGTATGAGCCCACTTCAACACCTCATAAATTAATTACCGCCAGGTATGACCCATTAACGACCGTTTTGTCGACGTCCACCACCCGAGAGTTATTCTTTTCCCTGTTCTCGCGTTTCAACTCTCAATTGTTTTGTAGGAAACAGAGTTGTTGTAACATATTTAACGCCACCATCCACGTCACGTTCTCTTTACGAACGTAACGTGTGAAATGAACAATGAATCTCAGCGTGTTTGTACGAGCATCAATAATAATTAACACGCCGTTCGCTACCGATGAGTTTTCAGCCAATCGATTACACCGAACAATCGAATATTCGCATTGGAAATCACGATCAGCTTTAAAACGTGTAACGCGATCACATTCCTGTCCTGAAAAGCGGCGCGCACGGTGAAAGGGTTAATGCACCGGCCGTGTCCCAGAGGCCGTGTTAACGCATATCGCGTTAAATCTCGTCCCGACGATTCGCGCGAGTTCTCGTTTACTTGCCCGGTAACCCTTGTCAGCGTCTCGTATCGCGCTCGCGCGCCTGCTCGTCGCAATGCAACTACCCGCGGTTCCAAACGATACGGGGAGCTTTTATGCGTCACGGAATTGCTCGCCCACACGTCCACCACCGATCCGGTCCAGGTCCGAACGATTTACATGCACACTTTTATCTGCCTAAAGCCACGGTGTTTCCTCGTGAGCAAAATAGTACAGCTAAGATCGGTGATACGAGCGACCACGTGCAATGAAATCGATCGTTCAATTTCGTACCGGTTTAATCAGTTACGGATTTACGGGGAATTTGTCAGAGACGGAAAGACGCATTTTTTAGTTTTTAGTTTTAGGATTCATCAACGAACGTTTAATTGCAAAAATAGCTCTTTTCAACGGTGCAACGGTACAGTAGAAAGCGTGGGCGTGGGCGGCACCGGATATAAAAGCAGTCGCGCGTTATGGCGCGCTCTGAAAAAAGAGATAATAAACGTGCATCATTCAGAGAGGCACGAGGCACTGTAGAATGAACCCGTACACCATCGGCACACACTGTATGCACGCGGTCTCCGTTGCTTTCTATCATCTCGACGTTCTCTCTCTCTCTCTCTCTCTCTCTCTAACTCCCTCCCACCCTCCTCCACGGTTATGCAACTGTTTTAATCCCATTGAATACAGTTGGCACGCGGGAAAGTGAAACACGTATGTACAACAAACGGGTCTTCGCAGCGTGCAAATAAACTCTTTCATACCGGGACATATGATCGCGCTCGCCGGGTTTCAATCTTCGTTCAACATTATTTAATATCAGCTAATTTATTCGTTTGCTCTTTGACTTTGATCCTCTCACGGAATCACGTGCGATCTGACTTTTGATCGATCAGCCGTTATTTCGAAGCGTCTCAAAAATCTAACACGGGACGCGAGTTTTTAGTTTTTACTCTTAAATTATGTATTAAAAATTTACTG